GGGAAGGACACTTGGTTCTTGGACAGCTGCTGCGGGCATCACATGTGCTCTTCGGGACGTTTCGTTCAACGCGAGCATCAACTTCAACGCGAAGTCGTCATTCCCGTCGCCAACAATCAGAACCTGCGAACACGACGACAAGGCGTGGTTCAACTTCAGTCAAGGGAGACAAATGCTATACTGCAAATGTCAAAGGTACTAATCGCGGAGGGACTCGGTTACAACTTACTGAGCGTCAGCCAACTGATGGCGAAGGGCATACACCTTGAAGCAGACAGCACCACCCAAGAATTCAAACTGTACCACGGGAGAGGAGGCCTTTACATCGGAAAGGCAATCCTGAAAAATAATGTCTTTGTCCTCGACTTCGTTCCAGTTCTCGGCACCGCAGACAGTGACGGGATCGTCACCTTCACCTCCTGGACACATCCACCGGACCTCGACCCCGACTTCAGTTTAGAAGGCTTCTGGTATTCACATACCATTCCTGAAGCAGAAAGAACAAGAGCGTTAGCGACAATTCAACATTCGGCAGCAACAGAGACAACACCGGCAGCAACAGAGACAACATCGGCAGCAGCAGAGACAACATCGGTAGCAGCAGAGACAACAACGGCAGCAGCAGAGACAACGGAGACAACAGCGGCAACATCAACACCAATCGCTGGTCCTTCAACGGCACCGATCTTCGTCGACGACACACCACCGACACCCGCGCAGCAACTGCACCCAGCACCACGAGAAGTTCATCGAAGCGCCAACTTCACCGCTAGCTTCTATTCCAACTCCGATATGTATCGGCGCTCACCCGGACATCGTGCCACCGAAGGAACTTGGCATGCAAGAATGGGACACCCAAGCAACACGGTGTTAAACAACACGATAAGAGCAGGCGTGCTCGACAAAGACTCTCTACTCCTAACTGACGGCAGAGAACTTCAGCGAGCCCGTGGAACATGCTTCACCTGTCCCGAAGCTGACTTACCGCATCAACCGTTCGCGTCTCACCACAACCCAAGCGCACCAGCTTACGTGCCACTCGAGAAGGTGTACAGCAACATCCTGTACAACCGCGAGCCTGGACAAAACGCGTACAATTACACCATCACCTTCATCGACGCAGCCACTCGATACGTCTGGCACCTAAATCTTCCAAGCAAGGACATGGCCTTCGAAGCCTTCGTCGCCTGGCTTCCAGTAGCAGAACGAGAATCGGGCGTCAAACTAAAAAGCTTCCAGTCAGACGGGGGAGGAGAATACACCTCACAGAGGTTCAAGGAGTACTTGGCAGAGAGAGGAATCAAGCGACTCATCTCTCTCCCCTACGCCCATCAACAGCAGGGTGTAGCAGAAAGGATGAACAGGACCCTCCAGAACACCATGCGCAAGCTACTACGTGGCATGCACCTGCCCAACCACCAGTGGCCCGAAGCAATGGACCACGCCGTCATGCTGCACAACTTGCTCTCGTCATCATCGCTCCCGAACAACGCATCACCGCATCTGCTGTGGACAGGAAAACTGGGCAGCACAAAAATGTTGAGAGTCTTCGGCTGCATGGTACAGTACCGGCCCCCATCTGCACGAGCTGGCCGATTCTCCCAACGCGCACAGTGGGAACTACACCTGGGCATCGAAAAACGTTTCAACGCATGGAAGATTTTCGACGTCGAGACAAAGGAAACAGTAGCAGCACGTGACGTCATCTTCTACGAAAACCTCTCCCTCCGGTATTACCTTGCCAACTTGCAAGAAGGAAACCCCGATCGCTCCGATGGTTTTCTTGGCACCCGAACCTTCGCCTCGGCAGACGACGAAGCTGACTGGGACGAGCAGAACGTGGAAGGAGCCTCGGAAGAAGCCGGGCCCCTCCCCTACTGCTCCGTCGACGTGCCAATGGATGACGAAAATCCACGCGACAGCATCAACGCCGAAACCTATTACCACTTCGCCGACAACGGTTATGTTACACCTGCACAAGTCAACACCAACGAAGTAGAACGTTTAGGACCAAACTTCAACCCTACACCAGAAGCGGGAGACGAAGCAGTTTATCCCGAGGACACATCACTTCCCCGCTACACACAGAGTGGCCTACAGATACTTGGCCTGGTCACCGCGGTCCACGGCACTGCGCTTCCTAAGGAGCCTGCGACGGTTCAGCAGGCTCTGGGGGGGGAGCATAAGGAAAAATGGCGCGAAGCCATGGACAAAGAGCTGAAAGCACTGGAGGAACGCAACACTTGGAAGGTTGTTCCTATCGGCGTAGCACGGAACAAGTCAATTCTCACCGGAAAGTGGGTCTTCCGCGTGAAAACAAGGGCTGACGGCACCATTGACAAGTTCAAGGCACGTTGGGTTGTGCGCGGCTTCGACCAGGAACATGGACGTGATTTCACCGAGACATTCGCTCCAGTCAGCCGACACACCTCGCTGCGAATCCTCCTCGCGATCGCTGCCATGAAGAAAAGGAAGTTGCGACAAATTGACGTCGCCAACGCATTCCTCTACGCACCCGTCGATGCAGAAATCTTCGTCGAGCTACCGCACGGCTCCAACGGAGAGCCTAATCAAGTCTGTCAGCTGCTGAAGTCGCTCTACGGCATCAAACAAGCCCCGAGGCTGTGGCAGCAGTACCTGCAAGACTCACTCGCATCGGATTCCATCAGCTACCTCATGACCAAGGCATGTACCGGCTCACAAAGGGAACCGACTACATCCTGCTCATCGTCTACGTCGACGATTTGCTCTACATCGGCTCAACCGACAGCGTCACTACCTGGTTCGAAGGGGAGTTGAAAAAGGATCTCACACTCACGGTCTCGTCCACCGTCACACAGTACCTCGGCCTCAACATCCAGGAAGAAGAAAATGCGATCTACCTCAGCGCCGCGAAATACGCCGACACCATCGCCAAGCGCTTCGCACTCACACCGACCGTCATCTCCACGCCATACCGCTACACGGCAGGAAATCACAAGGAAGGCTCCGCTCCGGCATACGCGACTACCAGAGGAAGCTGGGATGCCTCCTCTTCGCAGCTGTCACCTGCCGTCCGGACCTATCGTACTCTGCAAGCCAGCTCGCCACCTACCTCAAGAAACCTGAAGCGGAACATCTAGCGGAGCTCGACCGCGCTCTTCACTACCTCGTCAGCACTCCGACAATCGGCCTGACCTACCATAAAAACACGGCTACAGCGCCTAAACTAATCGGCTATGTCGACGCCGATCACGCCGGCGACTCCGACAACAGGCGCTCCCGCACCGGCTACATCTACCGCTTCGAGCCTATCGGTCCTATCTCCTGGCAGTCGAGCAAGCAGGAATTAATCGCTCTCTCCTCAGCTGAAGCAGAATATATCGCACTCTGTTCAGCCACCAAGGAAGGATTGTACCTTCGCGAACTCCTGGAGGAAGCCAAGCTAGCCCAGTTACCAAATTTCACCCTGTTCTGCGACAACCAGTCGGCCATTCGCATAGCCAACAAGAACGGCTTCGCGAACAGGACGAAACACATCGCCCTGCGATATTTCTTCGTGAAGGACGAGATCGAGAAAGGAAGACTCGAGCTGTCATACTGCCCCACATCCGAGATGGCAGCTGATTACTTGACCAAGAAGCTTGGAAAACAGAAGTTCGAGTACTGCATGCTGCTGACTGGACAGAGCCACGTCACCAGCAGCGACACTCCAGAAGCGAAGGGGAGTGTTGGAAACAACTAATTCTAAGCGCCTCTGTCGTGTCGAAACATCAAGGCACAAGCGAAGCACAACATATCGCAGCATCAGCGAGTCAACCCTTGGAGGTTGAGCAACTGCTGGAGGTTACGCGAAAGTCAAAGGTCAGCGACCTTTGACCTGACAAGTACAGCGCGACAGCAAGGACACACAACTGACTCGCTACAGACCAGTTCCCCGAGTCGTCACTGTATCGAACCGCAACAGCAACAGTAAAGTAGTTATAACTGTATCTCTTCGTATTCCTTGTACTCTTATATAATCCTGTATCTCTTTGCTTTAATCAATCAACTTTGCCCTCACACACTAGCGCAAGGTGGTTCACAACTCTTCATTAAACGCTTCCGCTACTACATCAGCTCTACCCAGAATTCACCCCTGCAAAGATCCTAAGGGCTATTTCCTCAGCCCAACAAAATTGAGTGAATGTTGCACCTGTCAACAGAGAATGATTGTACAAGGCTTTCAGATGTATGGTTGCATGCGGATTTGAGGCCTTGCCTGCACTCATCGGGCAAACCCCACTGGTCAGCCTACATAATGAACATTAACCTCCATGTTACGCCTATATTCGAGGTGTCATAAAAAATCAAAAAAACATAACTACTTACCGCACAAGCTGGCTCAACCCACCAGGTACACAGCACTAGCAGCTCAAGTCACAGCTCTATCTGTGGCATAGCAGCGAGTGGAAGGTGCTCTAAACAGCAAAAGCCGATAAGTGGTCATGAGAAGTTTTTGGATGGCTTACCATAGCGGGCTTGAATAAAACCGGCAGATGAGCAGGCACGGCATGGCATGGCACGGCATGGCATGGCACGGCACGGCACGGCACGGCACGGCACGGCTTGGCATGGCATGGCACAGGCTAGGAATGGAATGGGGCAAAAGGGTGGATAACGGAACTGATGGTGTGTTGTGTTGGATGAGTGAAAGGAGCGGACTCGGTTGATGATGGTGCTGCTGATGCCGTGTAGGACGTGTGTGGGGGGTGTGGAATGCGGATTGTGGAATGTGGAATGTAGAACGTGGGAGGAAAGGGATAAGAGAAGATTGGAGGATGGGTGTGGAGTGTGGAGGACGAGAAGAGAAGGGTCAAAGAGGAGGAGATGGAGGAGGTTGGTAAGAGAGCCGTTTTCATGGATTCTCAAGAGGGGTTAGGAGAGGAGGAAGTGAAAGAGATCGCTGAGGGAGACGATTCCTTGGATTCTCCGACTGCCCGCCTTTTGAGACGTCTCATAAGTCCTTTTGAGACGTCTCATTAAGAGAGGAGGAAGTGAAAGAGATCGCTGAGGGAGACGATTCCTTGAATTCTCCGACTGCCCGCCTCCACACACACAAGCCGGCGCACCCCTGCGCATGGCAAGACAGAGAGAGAAGTGGGAGGGGTTGGAGCGCAAGGGGTTGTGGAGGCAGAATGACAGGGAGAAGGGGATGGAAGCAAGTGGTCGATGATCAACTCCACAACTCACAACTCCACCACCCCACAACTCTACCACCCCACCACTCCACCACCCCACCCTCCCACCAGCGCACCTGGCATGGCCAATCGCTCCACCACCACTCGCAGGCTGTCAGACTGCAGGCACATGTGACACCGCGTGCCGCCCGCTGCTGCCGCCCCTACCGCCCCTGCATCCTGCCGGTATTGCAGGGCCTGGCACAGGCAAGGGGGAGAGCAGCGGAGAAGGTAGGGAAGCAGATGAGGCATGGGAGCAGAGGAGGTTACGACAGGAAGTGGAGCAGAAGGTGCGCGCTATAAGTGTAAGTCGGAGCTTTGGAAAAGAGTACAACAGCAGTTAAGCTTCGGAAGGAGTGATGTGGAGGAGTGGAAGTGAAGGGAGAGTGGAGGTAAGGACGCAGGTGGAAAATGAATTTGAGAAGGGAACATGAAGGTGGGATGGGGTTCTGGGATGTAAGGGGGGTGGTGAATGGTGGCGTGGTGAATGGGTTACATAGGCGCACTAGTCAAATGGTTACATAGCAAAGAACTACGAACAACAGAGATCAGCAAAGAGCAGCAGAGATCTCAGAACACTCGAGGCATTTCCATGCAGGGAGCAGGGAGCAGCGATGATGTGGTGCCCACCTGGCCGACAGTGAACTCATCAATGTTGAGCCGTGCATACATATGATCCTTGGCTAGCGTTGTGATGTCACTGTGCTCACATAGGCACACATGCACGCACACACACACACGTGCACGCACGCACGCACACGCACACATCCACACACACACACGCACGCATGCACGCACGCATGCACACGCACACACACGCACACACACGCACACACACGCACACACACGCACGCACACATACACGCATGCACACGCACCCACACACACACGCACACACACACACACACACGCACTCACACACACTCACACACACGCACACACACGCAATTCCATTCACACGCAAATGAGAAGAGGGGGTTGGACAAGAAGTGAGGCAAAAACAGAAGAAATAAATCACAGGAAGAAATTAGGGGGGGAAACTGCACTCGTGTTTCATACAGCGACAGCAAGCGGGAGGAAGAATCATCGCTCAGAACCACCTAGAAAAAACCGGGTGCAGCAGGGAGAATGGAAGCGCGGGAGGGAGGGAGGGAGGGAGGGAGGGAGGGAGGGAGGGAGGGAGGGAGGGAGGGAGGGAGGGAGGGAGGAAGGGAGGGCGAGGTGGTGGGGTGGGGTGAATACCTTCGCGCGTAGATGTCGATAAGAGCCCCGCTCTCATCCACAACTGGCAAAGATGACACTCCCGCTGTTGTGCGCCCCCGTGGCAGGCCAAGGAGATGGGACGAGGGGAGGCAAGGCGGAGGCGAGGGGGAAGAGGGCAGGCGAGGAGAGGAGAGGAGAAAGGAGAGGAGAGGAAGGAGGGAGGGGATGCGGTGGGAGGAGAAGGGAAGGCGATGGGAAGAGAGGAGGTTATCAAGAACTGGTGATGTGAAACGGCAAGGAGAGCAAGCAGCAACGACTGGGTAAAGCGTGAACAGCAGCAGCAGCAGCAGCAGCAGCAGCAGCAGCAGCAGCAGCAGCAGCAGCAGCAGCAGCAGCAGCAGCAGCAGCAGCAGCAGCAGCAGCAGCAGCAGCAGCAGCAGCAGCAGCAGCAGCAGCAGCAGCAGCAGCAGCAGCAGCAGCAGCAGCAGCAGCAGCAGCAGCAGCAGCAGCAGCAGCAGCAGCAGCAGAATCAGCAGCAGCAGCAGCAGTGGCGGCAGGAGGGGAGGAGGAGGCAGGCACCTTGCAGCAGCAGCGAGAGCGCAGCAAAGAGCGACATGGACGTCTGAAGCACCACAATAGGGCGCGTGTTGGGGCGCCCACTCTCTGCCGCCCATGTGCCGATGGGTAGCGCTCCCAGCGGCTGTGAGAGCAGCGGCAGCGACCCTGCCACGTGCCGGAAGTGCTTTGCCACGCCTGGAGGGATAGACAGTGGGGGAGAGTGGGCGAGAGAGAATGAGAGGGAGTGAGAGAGTGAGAGAGTGAAAGAGTGAAAGAGTGTGCGGGGGGGGCAGGGGAAGGGTGGATGGTATACCGCACAGAAGCAGAGAAAGGAAAGGAGGCCTTGTACAGCTCTACGGTTCTACAGAGAGCATTAAGAATCCGGCATCTCAAAAGCAGACACTAAGTGGAGACATCCACATAAGCAATAAAAGAAACACGGCAGGATCGAGCAGAAACCAGGGGTGGAGCGGATACAGGAGGAGGACGGGAGGGAGCGGAGGGGGGGGGAGGGATGAATGGAGGGAGGGAGGGAGCGGGACATACATTTGAGAATGCCTGCCAGCGATGCCAGGTGCAGCAGCTGCGGTGGTGGCGGCGCTTCAGCCACAGAAGCAGAAGCAGCGTTGGCAGAGGCAGCAGCAGCGGCAGAGGAGGAGGTGCGGGCTTCGGGGTAGTAGAGCACAGGGACCATGGCGAGACCCCTCGTTAGCAGCACCTCCGCTACCTTCCTCAGTGTCTCGTCCGGTCCAACCTGGATGGGGGAGGCGGGACAGGAGTAGGAAGAAGAGAGGGGGAGGGAGGGACATAAGAGGGGTTGTGAGAGGTCAGGGGGTGTAAATGGTGAGAGGAAGGGAGGGGGATGAGAGGGGGGTGGGGAGGGTGTGAGGGGGATGGGAAGGGGGTGAGGGGGGTGTCAGAAAAGCATGCATGCATGATGGCACTGGGCAGACATGTTTGAATGCATAAAAAAGGATGTGCCAGCTACAGGAATTAGAGGGCATGAGAGGGCAGGGCAGGGCATGAGAGGGCATGAGAGGGCATGGCATGAGAGGGCATGGCATGAGAGGGCATGGCATGAGAGGGCATGAGAGCGCACATAGATAAGGGGGCGGCGTGCGGGCGTGTGGGGGGCGTCGAGGGGCGTGGCGAGGGCGAGCTTCTCCTCCTTCCAGGCCGCTATGGTGTGCGTCTCCAGCTCCTCCTCGCTCAGCGATGCGCTGTTGCAGTGCAGCTGTGTGGCGTGTGCGCATGTGGGCACAAACGAGGGTGTGGGACAGAGAAGAAAAGGGTATGGGAACATTTCAAAGCGCGTCTACTACTGCTCCTCACTCAACGCAGCGCTGTTGCAGTGCAATTGCGCTTGCACAAAGGCCGGCATGGAATGGGGGTGTGGGGGGAAAACAACGACTCCATCCATGCATTCAGCTCCACACTAAATACACAGCACTATAAGGCCTCACAGAGGTGAACGCAACTGGCATGTAACCTAGCATGCATGCATGCGTATGCCATGTGCATGTGTACGCAAATGCGCCAGAGCAAAAGGCAGAACACATGTGCATTAGACTTGAGCAGTGCAATCCATCACGAGCAAGAGACCAGAGGGACTTGCGTGAGAGGAAGGGAGCAGAGTGGGGTGCGTGAAAGGGAGGAGGCGGAGGAGACCTGCGTGAGGATGGAGATGAAGTCAGAGGCGCTGAGCATGCCTACGAACTCCTGCCTCTCTGAGTCCCACAGCACACAGCTAGTTGACTTTTGAGTCAACTCAGAAGTCAACTCACCTGGGTGAGGATGGAGATGAAGTCAGAGGCGCTGAGCATGCCCACGAACTCCTGCCTCTCTGAGTCCCACAGCGGCGCTGCTGGCACGCCCTGTGTGCCGCACGCACATGCACACACACACAAATCCAGGCACACACACGCATGGAAGCACACGCACACATGCAGCCACACACACGCATGGAAGCACACGCACACATGCAGACACACACACGCATGGAAGCACACGCACACATGCAGACACACACACGCATGGAAGCACACGCACACATGCAGACACACACACGCATGGAAGCACACGCACACATGCAGACACACACACGCACACTTGCAGGCACACACACGCATGGAAGCACACACACACACGCAGGCACATGCACACACACACACACACACACACACACACACACACACACACACACGCAGGCACACAGACGCATGGAGGCACATGCGCACACGCAGGCACACGCACGCATGCACGCACGTGCGCGCTTACACACACAGATGGCGGGAGTGGGGGATATTGGTAGGGAAGGGGAGCGACAGGGGGGGGAATGGGAAGTGAGGGAATGGGGCTGGAGAAGCTGGGATGAAAAGGCAAGGGAAGGAGGGGAGGTTGGAACACGATGGCTAACAGCTGTTGCACGAGACAATTGCCGTGAAATGTTTGATTCCACGGCATGGCATGGCATGGCATGGCATGGCATGCGGGTTCATGGCACGCCTGCAAAAATAGAGAGACTGTTTATGGGTGGAGCAATGCAATGCAAGGAGTGGAGATGGATGCATGGACAGCAAAGGCTGGGCATGGATGGACACGGCAAGGGAACAGGTGGAATCAAATGGGCATGAGGTGGTGGGATTGGGTGCGAGTGGTTGGGGATGGGCGTGGATGGGTGGGGATGGGTGCAGCAGAGCAGGCGCACCTGTTCGTAGAGGGCGTGGAAGGCCTGCTTCACTGGGAGAGCCACGTCTAGTGCCACCACCTGCCGCCAACGCAGGGGCGCACGTGGAATAGAAAGGGAGAGCAAGAACATCATCCAAGGCTCTATATTGCCTAGACCAATTCGTCGGTCCAAGATCAAGGCGACCAACCACCCATTGCTTCCCTTCCCTTCTTCCCTGCTGCGCTCTCCTGGTCCCTGCTTGCCCCACTGCCTTGCCAACCCTCCACACCAAACGTGCACAAGGGTCTGGCTCCGTTTCTCTAGCAGACCCACAGAATGCACTATCCACAAGACAAGAAGGAAAGCGAGGAGCACTGAAGTCGAAACGCCTATAAAAACTCACAGAGAACACCGAGCAGGAGTTACGCATTGCAAACGAACTGTCGGCCACACCACAGCACACGACAGCACAGCACAGCACAGCACAGCACACGCACCTTGCCTGACTCAGGCAGCAGCTCATACGCCTTGTGCCTCTGCAGAAAGTCCACAAACCGCTGCCGAGACGACTCCGCATCCGCTGCTGACACCGCCCCCATCGAATCCGCCAGCACCAGCCCCGCTCCCCCCAACCCCCCCACCACCGCTCCCCCCGCCCCCGCCCCCGCCACCCCCCCTGCTACCATCGCCCCGGTGACCATTCTCCCTGGTTCCCCCCCTACCAGCCCCCCCACCCCACCCCCCCCCGCGCCCCCCTGCTGCTGCGCTGCCTGCGAGGCCGCTTGCTGGGTGTGGCTGTGCGAGTCTATGTGTGCAGGGGTGTGCTGGGATGCTGTCACTGCTGACGGACCAAGCCCAATCCCATGGTGCGCGTGGCTGTGCGAGTGTGAGTGCTGGTGCGAGTGCCCGCCTCCTCCTCCGCCTCCTCCCGCGCCTCCTCCTCCCCCTGCTGCCCCAGCGCCTGGGTGGTGGTGGTGCTGGTGCCCTGCTCCTGTCAAGAGATGGTGCTGTGGGTGTGATGTTGTGACTTCAACCCCATCAACATCCATATGAGCGCCCACTCCTATCCCGAACCCCACCCCGCCCACAACACCCCCTCCTCCCCCGCCTCCTCCGCCCGCTCCCCCTCCTCCTCCCCCACCTCCCCCGCCCGCGCCTGCTTCCCCCACCCCCCCACGCTCTCCCGCGCCTGGCGCAGGTCCGGCCAAGCCGGCAGGTCCGGTGGCGGCAGGGGAGGCGGCAGTGGCAGTGGCGGCGGATGGTGGGGTGAGATGGGCGTTGGGGTCGGAATCACGCACGAGCAGCCAGTTGTTGACGTTGCCGAGGGGATCGGGCATGAACGGCTGGGATTCGTCGTGCCGCCACTCTCCGTCCACAATGAATTTGTACTGGTGGAGAGGGTACGGTGCGGAGGAGGGGGGGAGGGAGGAAGAGGGGGGGAACGGTGGGGAGGAGGAGGGACATGGGGGGGAGATGGGGGGGGGAGGGGGGGTAAGAGGTGGAAATCGAGCAGGAAGGGATTGGGGGGATAAAAGGGGAGGGGGTTGGGGGGGAGAGGAGAAGGGGGGTGGAGAGGGGGAGGGGTGAGGTGGGGGGAGGAAGGGGATGGAAAGAACGAGAGCAGGGAGAACGGAGGAGAATGGGCAAGAGAGGGGCGAAAAGGGGGGAGGAGAACAGGAAAGGAGAGAAAAGAGGCTGCGAGGGAGACGGACCCAAGTGGTGTTGGGAGGAATATGCAAGAGTACCGTAAGGAACAAGTAGCAGCAGGTTGGCGGTTGTGGGGTGGAGCGGGGGGGTGGAGGGGTAGTGTTTGAAAGTTGCTTATAAGACAAGTCAATCTTCAAGCCACGCCACACCGTGGTTGATGCATGCATGCATGCAGCAGTGAGGAAGCACGCCTGAGCTGCAGCTGGGAGTGGCTCACAGATTGTACACGAGATTGTACTCGCATAGGAGCTGCCACTGCGGTCAGCGTATATAACAGCAAGCAACCTGGCCAGGGCAGACAGAAGCAAGTTACCTGGTGGCGACAACGACAACCGGAGAGGGGGTTACCTACCTGGAGAGGGTACTTGAGGACAGGCAGTAACCCAGGAATCAACCTACCTGGTGGTAACCAGGAGGCAGGTTCCAGACGACGGCGAAGATGGAGCTAGAGCCCTCCACGGGCGCCATGGGTAGGGTCTCCTGCCACCTGCCAAGGCAGCACCAGCAGCACCGGCGGCGGCGGCGGCGGCAGTGGCAGCAGCAGGGCATTCAAGCACAAGATGCACGCGTTAGGATGAGGATGAGGAGGAGAAGAAACAGAAATCGAGAATTGGGAGACGGGGAGGTGGAGTGGGGGGCGGGAGGGAGAGGAGGGGGGGGTTGCGGAAGGGTGGGAGAGCGGGAAAGTGGGAGCGGGGGGTTGTAAGCAGAGAGGAGCGTACGACCAACAGAGGAAGCCAGCAAAGCCAACAAGCTCGTCAGAAAAAAAAAAAAAAAAAAAACTCGTTCCAGTCAATTCCATTCCATCAGAACGAGAGACGTTCCGGGTGAGCACACGCGTGGAGGAGCTCTCTGCGTAGCTCGTGGCCGGACCCTGAGCTGGCCTGTTCTACGCACGACTGCTCTGATGCGGAATGCTGGGCAGAGGGCAGCACGCGGCCTTCGTGTCTGTATGGTTTTGAGATTGTGTAACCGTTTATCAGTGGTAACTTTCGTTGATTCGTACGAAGTCGAAATGCGAGCTGGTTGTGCCGGAGGGGTTGCGGGGAGCAGGCAATTGGAATTAAGGAGCTCTTCCGCACCTGTGGCGCCATAAGCGTGGCAAAACTTGAGAACTAAAACCAGAGAAATGGAGAAACTAACAACAGCGAAACACTCGGACTGGGCGAATCCGTTGCCCGCAATGCAGGCGAATCCAGGAGCAAGTCACGAGTAGCCTAGCCGTGTCCGCCTAGACTATCCGAGACGAACTACCCTAGGCGCGCGACCAAATAGCCTAATCCACTCTTACCTTGACCAGTTCCGCAGGAGGCGCGCAGCTACTGGAGCTAATGTGACAAATAAAGTCTACAGAGAACGAGAAGTGGCGGGAGTAGATACAACAGGCAATCGCTAATGGAAGCCTAGAGAATGACGACGTCCGAAATCACGGTTCCGAGAACACGTGTTCTATCATGCGCGCTTGATGACATTTTGTCCAGTTTCCGAATCGAACGTCGCCGTTTCGAGGCACATTCAGAGGTGAACGCTAGAAGTATGCCTTCCTCGTGGTTTGCATGATTCTAATTCGAGCGGAACCTACCAGAAACTAGAGCCGTTTCGGTGCCTGCACGCGTCGTTCCCTGATGCTTTGTCGCCGAAACCTTGCGGTTACCTTAACGCCTTGTTTTCTGCTGCCACTCGTACCCATTACGCCTCTTCGTTACATTAACGCTTCGCCGTTCGGCAACGCTCGCTTCGAGAGTTAAACATCGACCTACCGTTGAGTCGACTCAAAACTCGCTCGTTTCAAGAGCTAAAATATCGACGTACCGTGTAAACGACCCGCATAGATGCACGTGTCGCCCCCCATGCGGCCACACGAAGCGCGTGGGAACCAGCGTCGATGCCGCGCCGGCATCTGCGGCGCCGGGAAACATGCTTCGGTGCGCGGCTCCTACGTACGCGCACTGGCGGTCAAATCGCTATATCAGGAGTTTCAAGTACAATGCGAGTACTGAAGTGGGTTGAAAACGATTGAGTAGAGGCTGGCGGAAGGAAGCGTGTTCGAAGGAGCTGTATCTGCTATTTGTTTTCGCTAGAAAACAGTAATGCTGGAGTAGGCTGTGCGAGCAGGCGTCGCAATAGAGCGAGTGAGACACGGAGCAGATGCAGGAAACCGTCAGTTGTACAGATTACACGCCATGGGAACGAGGAAAACTAGGATATGTTAGAGCTACTTGCTTGACTTGTTTCTCCTAAGATGACGTGGCTCTGTTAGGTCTATCTGCTATGACCTTGCTTCTAAGTGCTGACGTGGATCCGAGCCTCCGACCCAAGGTATCGGGTTTAGGTGGAGGAACAGTCACAAGATGGGAGGAGTTGAGGGGGATCAGTCGCTGACTCGCTGGGTTTGCCGTTATGAAAATTGTTACAAGAACACATATCAATTTTCAATTACACGTTATAAGGAGGTCATGCATAAAATACCTAAAGAACCAAAATTTTTAATCTCTACTTCTCCTGGCTTTGAAGTGATTGACCGAAACCCTTTCCCACTTCCTGAAAATACCGATACTGCACACCTCACTAAGATGATTTAAATCACACAATGTGGGTCCATCATCTCCCAACCATTGACAACACTCTCAAACACAGCATTGAACAGTTACCCCATTCAAATACAAAAGACCTTGGCCTGTTACGAGACATCAAGCTAGCATCAAATGTCTGGGGCCATGCTAAACTCTGCACTTCCTAGCAAAAGAAGCAAAGGAACAGATGGAATATACAAGATAAAGAAAGGCACCAGCCTGTGAAGCAGGCAACTCTTTCTTTTGCCGGCAAAAAGTCAGGGACCTTGCTCCCTTGTCCGCAAGGACGTGTGGCTTACTTCACTTCACATGGCGAAACTTCCTGGCTTGGGTCCTGCTAGGTCGCTCCCACTGCAAGCATTGCAAGAGAAGAGGGGGAAATCGGTAGGAGTTTGGAAAGGACACCTGCAACTCAGAGATATAGCGGCCACCTCCTCAGCACACATGGCATGACAGAGCATAAGACACAGCTTACAACAGAGCATGACATGTCATGGCAACGAACAGCATGGCATGGGTGTGGTGGGTGCTATGTGTGTGGGAGCACGCTCACCTGCTGACCCGGAACATGGCGGCACAGGGCATGGGCACGCTCACATCCATCTCCTCCGTCTCCTCCCCCTCCATGTAGCTGCTCCGAGGGGGGGATGGACAGGCGGGTGAAGACATTATGAGAACACAGAAAGGAGAAACACGCACGCATGCAGGTTCGAGGTTGCTGGAATCGACACTCAGAGGAGACTGGAGGGAAACGTGGTTCCACTACGGCACAACATATAAGCTCTTAACACAAGAGCTTCGCAAGCTCGGAGCAGAGGGGCACGTGCTCACACCAAGAGGTTCAAGTCAAGAAAGGTCCAAAGATATAATCAGGTGGGGTTTGTCATACCTGTGCAAGGAGCCGATGGTCTCGTCCCACTTCTTCTCGTAGAAAAACCCTGCCGGGAACTCGCGGAGCTCTAGCCCATGGGCAGTGGACGACACACCCGCAGCAGCAGCAGCAGTGAGAGGAGGAGGAGGAAGGGCAAAAGGAGCATCCGGCGCGTCAGGAGCGTCAGGGGCAGCAGCAGCATCGGCAGCGGCATCGGTGGCTTCGGCAGCGGGGTGTGAGGCATTTTCTGGGATGGAACTGGGAGCAGCGCTCCACGTGCAAAAGAGCAAGTCGGCTGATGGTGACGGCGAGACAGGGGGGGGAGTGGATGGTAGGGGGGGGGAGGGAGTGGGGGAGGGAGAGAGTGGAGGAGGGATTGAGTGGAGGAGGGATTGAGTCACCAGGAATTGCCAGGGGGCCAGGGGCGACATGTGTAGAATCGGGCTCTGAGTTGCTTGAAGCAGAGGACGTACTGGTAGTGGAAGGAGAGAGTGACCGCATAATGACCTTGGGAGTGTAACAAGGGCGACAATACAAATGCAGAAACAAGTGTAACAGCAGTTTCCAAGTCACCTGCCCAGCTTGCATCGATTCTGAGATTTCTCCAGAGCGAGCATGTATGCATGCATTGAGGTAGTTTTTGAGGCGCCTCAAAAACGACCTGTGTGCATGCATGCACTCCGCGCTACAAAATGGACGGGTACAAGGACGAGAAGGACCAGAAGGACCAGAAGGACCAGAAGGACCAGAAGGACGAGAAGGACCAGAAGGACCAGAAGGACCAGAAGGACCAGAAGGACCAGAAGGACCAGAAGGACCAGAAGGACCAGAAGGACCAGAAGGACCAGAAGGACCAGAAGACCGGGAGGACCAAGGTCGTCTCTTGCACACGTTGAACGAAGCCGCGAGGTATGTAAACGCAGACGACTTTTGAGACGTCTCAAAAGTCGAGGTATGTGAACGCAGAAGATACGAGCCACACGCGCATTGCTGTCGTTTCGTCCGGTTCATCTTCATCTGGAATGATAATTGCACCTGGACGATAGGCGACCAACGGCCAGCGGCGGGTCGGAAACAGCAGACCGGAGACGGGAGACGGGAGACGGGCGACGAGAGACAGGAGACAGCAGACGGCAGCACATACCTTGCTGCACGGAAGCCCAGAAGAGCGGTGCGCCGTGGTGGGGGTCCCTGGCAGCCAGCACGTACTGACTGGCGTCGTCAAACAGACAGAAGGCCCATGAGCCCTGTGGTGCGCGAAGGGAGAGAGCGTGGAGAGGGAGAGAAGAGAGAGGGAGAGGAGGATTGGCGGGAGGGGGTAGAGAGAAAAAGACAGAGGAAGAGAGGGAATGATGGAGAGGAGATGCGGCACGTGAAACAGGAGGGGTGAAACAGGGGATTCAATCTTATTTAGTAGGCGATATGACAGGGAAGCAGAGGAGAAAAGGAGCCGGGGGCCCAGGGAAGCAGGAGAGCAGGAGAGCAAGGGGAGCACTGGGACCAGGAAGACACACCTGCAGCGAGGCGAGGCATGTCTGGGGCTGCGACGAGTAGTCGCCGTACGCGTCTGAAAAGCCCTGTTGCGTTTTTCGAACCGCACGTTGCGGCGCAATGGAGGGAAGGGCGGGACGCGGGATCGCGGGGGAACACAGGGGACGAGCAGTGAGCACGAGGGCCGCAGTAATCAGACAAGACGAAAAACATGGAGACTGGGAAAAATCGATAAACTGGAAAGCTACAATCTGTAGACTTGAGGAACTTGGGGAATAATCCGGAAATGGTGCGTCTTGAACGACGCCGCGTTGAACGCAGCATGTGCGCAAACAGGATATGGATTTGAGATGCGCGGAACGCATGCACGCCGTGGCGCGCTCGACCATGCACTCCCCCAGGTACTCACGCGCACCCCGCCTCACGTCCCCGCGCGCAAACCCCCGGCCTGCACCCCCCTCCCATATTCCAACCCGTCCCCCCCGCGCACACGCCTCCGCCCGCCCGTCTCTGCGCACACACCCCCCCCCGCGCACCTTCCAGTAGAGCTCGGCGAGCAGCAGCGCGGAGGAGGCGGAGAACGCGAGCAGCGGGTCGGGGCGGTCGGGCTTGGGCAGGCTGTACAGCTCGCGCACCTCGTCCTCGTTGTCTGCGCGCGGCGGGGGTTAAAGGGGGGGGAGCGGAGAAGGGGAGGTGGGGGGGTAGGAGGAAGAAATGGAGTGCGGGGTCGGGGAAGGGGGAGAGGAAAAGGAAGGGAAGGTGGGGAAGAAACACGGAGAGTTAGCTGGGAAGACGCGCGGGGAAGTGAGGACGGAAGAGACGCGGGTAAGCAGAAGGAAACACGAGGGGAATCGATGACACGTGTTGGTGGAGGGAACGGGGGGGGGGGGGGGGGGGGGGCTGGGGGGGGAAGTGGGGGAAAGGGGGAAGGACGGGAGCAAACAGCGTTGCGCGCAGACGACAGGGCACGGGAAATGTGGCAAGGGCAATGCGGCGAAAGTGGGGAGGGGCAGCGCGTGTTTTCAGAGGACAACGTGGAAGATGCGGGCTAGGTGAGGTGAGGTGAGGTGAGGTAAGGTGAGGTGGGGTGAGGCGAGGTGAGGCGGAGTGAGGCGAGGAAAGCTCACCAATGCTGCCGTACAGCACCACGAAAACGCGGCCACCGTTCCTGCGCGGAGGGAGAAGTGGGTGGAGAGGGAGGGGAGGGGGAGAAGGGAGCAACGGAGAGAAGACGGAGGTGAGTATAGGGTGAGAAATGGGTCAATGGTCGTTTGAAGTGTAATGCTAAGCGGCTATGCGGTAGAACAGCAAGCGACGGCCTTGCGACGAGCACGGCTCCACTCACTCGGGAGCGCGGTGCTCTGCCCAGCTGACACGTGGATGGTTCTGAATGGTGCCGAACGCGGCGCCGTCGAGAATGTGCTCCTCCACGTGGCTCTTCCATTCCAGCGGCAGGTTGTCCTTCACACGCGCCAAGTCAGCGCGCACCACATCGTCCACTGAACTCCTGCCACGTGTACAACCCGGCATGTGGCATAGACAGGACATATCAGAGACGCGTTAGAATCCGAAACATAACCGAACGGGGCAGTGTGTACGACTTGCGGGTGCGGGAAAGAAAGTTGGGAGCGGGACAAGGACAGGAAACGCTAGTACACGAAACGTAACAGCGTGAGCGTCGGGGGAGAAGAAAGAAAGTGGGGTGGGTGGTGTGCAGTCGGGGTGGGTGATGTGTGGTTGAAATGGACGGACGGTACCGTGGCGGGGCATCCCCGGAGCGCGGGAGGCGGAAGGAGAAGCTGCGGGAGGAGCGGCAGAGTGGGTTCGACCCACCTCTCTAGCGCGCTCGGCGGAGGCCCGCCCGGCAGCTGCGGAGAGTGGATGCGGTCGAAGATGGAAAACATGGCGCACGGCGCGCGGGCGCGCAGCGGAATGCGCACAGAGGCGGAGAGGGGATGTGGAGCGCGGGCGGAGGAGCGCGCGGAGAAGACAGGGGAAAGCGCGCGTGAGAAGACGAGCCGGGGAAAGGCTGTGAAGGGGAGTAGCACGAGAAAGTGAGTAGCGGGCGTCGTGCCCTATCAATCCGCAAGCAGGGAAAGAACCAACACGGTCGGCGCAAGGTTGAGGTTTGCTCAGCGGGAGTCACGGGAAGAGCCGAGGATTGATGGAGAGATGAGAAATGTGGAGCGAGAAGACGTCACGACAAGTGAGAAGCGTGCGAAACTCAATGGCAGGATGCAGTGGAAACGCTGTGTGTGCGAATCTTTTTTCGGTTGAGACGACGCTGTTGAAAAAGGGCAAAAAACGAGGAGGAGTACAACGAGATGACAACTAGGTGAACATGGGCCAATAGCGTAATCTGAACTAATAAGTAGCCAATAAATTGCGTGTCAGGATGAGCCGACTAATAAGGAGCAGCAAGCTCAGCTTGGAAGTTGGGATTCGCACATGAAAATTGGTGGGGCGGGGTGCGGCTCGTCGGGGAATGCTCCAGCGCAGAGCCTCTCTCGGGGAAGGAAGGGGACGGGGAAAGGGCAGGCGGGCGTTCCCTCGGGTCAGCGGTGCGGGGCGGGAAAAACTCCGCTGCTGCAGGTGAGAACTGTACCGAAGGAGAAAGTGGGGAGGGAGGCGAGGGGGCAATGCGGGTTACTGTACTTCATCGCCTGCTGCCCTACCTGACACACACGAACAGAAACGACGAGCGGCGAAATGGCACGTGCAGCGATGCGCGATGAGCTGGCGCTGCCAACACAGCGAGGACCTTGTGAGGGACATGCAAAGAGATAATGACGCGGAGCGCTTGTGATGGAGAATGGTGACCCTCTGATTGGGTGCTGTGAATCCAGCAGCTCAATGAGATTGTAATCTGATGTGGCGCCTTGATGTTCCTAGTCAGAAGCACGATGTGTAGCGTCAGATCACGATATGTAGCTTTCCACCTCAACAACTCATCAGCAACTGTAACGAAGACAGGCCTCCACCATATAGCGAATACAACCATGTAGTTGCAAGGGGTTTCATTTCCTTATCCGGGCTGTATTGCATGTCTTAGAAGCATAGGCTTGATTCAACATCCTCTACTCCTATCGCTTTGGACAAGCGACCCGACCTGAACTCTATATTTAATTCCTTGAGTTCGTCACCTAACTCGGGTTCTCGTCGTCAGGACGACGAGACATCCTAGATAGTGTACAAGGATACTGATAGCATAATCTGATTCTAGTGGTATTGTGATTTATGAAAGATTTCCTTCTGAAACCATCATTCGTAATTGCCTCTATGTCGAGATTTCTCTGTACGAAAAGCACACCCTCCAAATAATCAATTTCGGCTCCTTCTTGGCCAGCCTAACTTTCCTCTGAGTTATAAATATTTGATACCCATCAGAGCGCTGTAGCTGCAGCTCTTAACGCAACCGTTACAAAGTCCAGCATCGAGTCTTTTTTAGGATCGTCTGATCATGCTGATTGATTTGTGAATCGTGATTCTGTTGGGTTTCAGTTGGCTTCTTATCTTGCCTTGTCGCGAGATTCGCTGTAAGCTTCATTGCACCTGAATCTGCGTCTGTTTCCAATCTAGGGAATTTCAAGGATTGTCCACGTCAGCATGGGAAAGCAGCGGATGTCTGCGGTGGACATCGCCGCTGAGGTGGCATGCCTACGTCAGCGGTTGATCGGTTTCCGAGTCGCCAATCTATACGACCTGAGTCCCAAGGTAGCCGTTGCCCCGGAGAATCTCACCAGCTTGTTTGGTTCACGAGAACTGTAATTGTCCTTCCCCCGTCTTGGGTGGATTCGTGATCAAGTGAATCAGTATCTAGTACTAGTGATGTGTCCTTCCGTTTCGTAACTGCTCGTCGGGCTCAGAATCATTCCTTGGATTCGTATCGACCAACTAAAACCGAGGCGTATATCATTGCCGTATCAGTTTTTCCGTTGTACTATCGGCACTCCCCTCAGCACCTTCCGTTCTCTCTCCTCTCTCCCGTTCCTCCTCCTCCTCCTCCTCCTCCTCCTCCTCCTCCTCCTCCTCCTCCTCCTCCTCCTCCTCCTCCTCCTCCTCCTCCTCCTCCTCATCCCCCTCCTCATCCTCGCTCTCACGCTCTCTCTCCCCCTCCCCCCCCCCTCCCCCCTCATCTCCCTCGCCCCCCACCCCCACAGACGTATGTGATCAAGCTGGCGAGGAGCAGCGGCGTGTCGGAGAGTGGGCAGAGCGAGAAGGTGCTGCTGCTGCTGGAGAGCGGCATGCGATTCCACACCACCAACTTCGCCAGGTACTATTCCCTCTACAGCTCACATTTGAGGCGCCTCAAAAGGCGGGCAGAGCGAGAAGGTTCTTCTTGAGAGCGGCATGTGCGTTCACACCACCAACTTCGCCAGGTGTTACCGCTGCCGCTGCTGCCGCCGCTGCTGCCGCCGCTGCTGCCGCTGCTGCCGTTGCTGCTGCCGCCGCTGCTGCTGCTGCTGCTGCTGAGATGCTGCCGTTCTCCTCTTCCTATACCCGTTGCTCTTTCCATTTTCTCGCCTCCTCCCTCCTCCCTCCCCCCTCCTCTTCGTTCCCCTACTCGTTCCCCGGCTCTTTCTCCTCCCCTCTCTCGGCCCTCTCAATTATCATTTCGATTCCTGTGCAAATTTCCTGCCTATGTGCCATGTGCTATGCATGCCGGTGGTGCTGTGATGGTGGGTCGGTGTGTGGTGGGGATGTGGTGTTGCTGGCTGCAGGGACAAGAGTGTGACGCCGTCAGGGTTCACACTCAAGCTGAGGAAGCACATTCGCACTCGCCGCCTTGAGGACATCTCCCAGATTGGAATTGATAGGGTAATTTCCCAGACCTTATTCTAAACCCTTATACACCTTAAACCCTCTACTCTGCACTGCACACCTGTACCCGAGACACATTTTTCATGCACTCGTGATCGTACCCTAGACCCAAACCCGAAACCCTAGGCTCCGAGGCCTGTACCACAATGAAAGGTTGTCTTGCTGGGAGGATTTTTTATGAGATGTTTCAGAAGCAGATTGGAATGAGCAGGAAAATGCACGCCCAGAATCTGCTACCACATGTAGGGGGGAGTGGCTGTTTGGAGAGCCAATTCTCACCCATCTCATCTCACCCCCGCTCCTCCCACCCCACCCCACCTCTCCGCACCCCACACCACCCCCCGGCCCCACTCATCACCCACCTCCTGTGTGCTTTACATGGCACTGCTGATACGATATTGCACGGCAATCCATTGCAAACCACTCCACTGCACTGCACCGCACTCCATCGCACCAGGTGGTGGATTTCAAGTTTGGCACGGGCGAGTCAGCGCACCACGTGCTGCTGGAGCTGTACGCGGGGGGCAACGTTATTCTCACTGATAGCCAGTATTCCGTGCTCACGCTTCTGCGCTCCCACAGGTCCGTGCACGTGTGTGTGTGGGGGAACGGGGAGGGAGGAAGTGGGGGGGCATGGGTGGATCTGAAGGGAGCGGGAGGTTTGTGCTTGTGTGTGGGGGCAGAGGGTGGAGGAAGGACGGTGTCTGTGTGTGAGTGTGTGTGGGGGGAGGGTGAGGAGCTGTATGCAGGGGGCAACGTCATCTTAACTGATAGTGTGTTACACAAGAAGGACAGCTGCTACTCCGTGCTTACTCTGCTGCGCTCCCACAGGTGTATCTCCACCTCGTGACCTCACCTCGCCGTCCTTCTTGCCTCTCCGTGCATTCACCTCCACCCTGTCTTGTTCCTTCTCCATCCCTGCCCCTGTCCCTTCCCCTGCCCCCGCCCCCGCCCCTGTCTCGTTTTCCCCTCACCCGTCCCTTCCCTTCCCCCCCCACCCCCCGTGTCCCTCCTTCCTTCCTCTACCCCCGCCCCTCTCCCTTGTTCCCTGTGCCGTGCCCTTAGCAGGGACGACAACAAGGGCATTGAATCTACTTCAAAGAGCTCTAACAAGTGTCTTGAGGTCGTTTTTGAGGCGCCTCAAAATCTACTTCAAAGAGCTCTAACAAGTGTCTTGAGGTCGTTTTTGAGGCGCCTCAAAATCTACTTCAAAGAGCTCTAACAAGTGTCTTGAGGTCGTTTTTGAGGCGCCTCAAAATCTACTTCAAAGAGCTCTAACAAGTGTCTCCTTCTCTTTTCCCCTGTTCCCTATTCCCTGCCTGCCTCTATGCAGGGACGACGATAAGGGCATTGCCATCATGCCCAACCACCCCTACCCCCTCTCGTAGTTTGACATGTCTCAAAACCTTACCTGCTACCCCCTCTCCCCTGTGCCCTGCCCCTTTGCACTGCAGGGATGACGATAAGGGCATAGCCATCATGCCCAACCACCCACCCCTACCCCCTCTCGTAGTTTGAGATGTCTCAAAAGTTTACCTGCTACCCCTCTTCTTGTCCCTCTGTGCCCTGCCTCTTTGCAGGGACGACGATAAGGGCATAGCCATCATGCCCAACCACCCCTACCCCCTCTCCTCCCTCCGCCCCCTCACTCTCTCCTCCCCCTCCGCGCTCACCAAGGCGCTTCTGGGGGAAGCGCCAGTGGCGGGCGCGGAAGGCCATGGGAGGGAGGCGGGGGAGGGGGAGGGCGAGGGGGAGAAGAGCAGCGGGGATGGTGGGGGGAAGGGGGAGGGCGGGGCGAGTGGGGAGGGAGGAGGGGCGGGGAAGGGGAAAGGTGGTAAAGGGGGGAAGAAGGAGAAGGGGGGGAGGAAGGAGAAGGGGAAGAAGGGGCAGGGAGGGGAGGGTGGGGAGTGTGCGGAAGGGGGGGATGGGGAATGGGAGGAGCGGGTGGGAGTGTTGAAGGAACGGTTGGGATCGGTGCTGGGCTATGGCTTGCCCATCTGTGAGCATATTGTGAGACAAGGAATGGAGGCAGCTGCTGCAACCGCTGCTGCTGATGGTGATGCTGATGGTGCTGCTGCAAAACCTGCTGAGAGTGATGGTGGTGATGGTGGTGTTATGGTGGGGAAGGGTGGTTTGCAGTGCAAGGAGGAGGTGATAGTAGCGAAAGTTGTGGCAGCAGCGAGTGCGTTTGAGGAGTGGCTCGTGAATGTGACTCAAATGAAGGTCATTCCGAAAGGCTACATCTTGCTACGCCGCGAGAAGCAACACCAGCAGCAGCAACAGCACCAGCAGCAGCGAGAGCAGCAGCAGCAGCAGCAGTCACAGCAGCCGCATAGGAGGCGGCAGAGGGGGGAGAAGAAGCAGCATTTTGAAGCCAAGAAAGCCGGTGATGCAAGCGCAGCTGAGCCCAAAGGGGTAGAGGCTGACGGGAAAGAGCAGGATGATGAGCAGGGGGCAGGGCAGGGGGAAGGAGCAGGTAAGGGTGAGGAGAAGGAAGAGGATGACGTGGTGTATGAGGAGTTCTGGCCCTTGGCTCTGCGCCAACTGCAGCTTGCTGCAGGCGAGGTGACACGTGCTGGAGGAGGAGGAGGTGGTGGAGGAGAGGGAAAAGGAGAAGGAGGAGAGTCAGAAGCCGCAGGGGCAGCTGCAGCGGTAGCGGGAGAAGGAGGGAGCAAAGGAGGGAGGGAGAGGTGGGGGGATGGCGGGGAGGGTAAGAGTCTGGGGCTGCGTGAGTTTGAGACGTTTGATGGCGCTATGGATGAGTTCTTTGCGCGGTACGAGGGGCAGAGGGCCATGCAGCAGAGGGCCGCGGCAGAGAAGCAGGCTGCGAGCAAGCTGGAGAGGATCAGGGCTGACCAGGTCAGGCCACACCCAGCATTCCCAGTGCATGCTGATGCTGATGATCTGTTCAAAGTTCTCTGGTTGGATGTTTTACTGGTGTCTTGCTCTCTCCTGCTCCCGCTTCCTCTGCCCCTCCCCATCCCGCTCCCGCTCCCGCTCCCGCTCCCGCTCCCGTTCCCCCTCCCCCTCCTGCTCCCGCTTGTGCTCCCGCTCGTGCTCCTGCTCCTGCCCTTATCTCATTTGAGGCGCCTCAGAATGCGTCTCCTGCCCTAACGTTCTTGTTTTTTGGTCCTGCTCAATCACCACCCTATCTCCCCAACACTCCCCCTCTCATCCCCTCTCCTCTCCCCACACCATCTCTTTCCCCCCAACCCTCTATTTCCCGAACCCCTACCCTACCCACCACAGCAAAAGCGAGCGCAGCAGCTGCAGCAGGAGGTTGACGTAGCAGAGCAGAAGGCACGGCTCATTCTTTACCCTATCTTCCTAACACTCCCCCCCTCTCCCCTCTCCCCCCTTCCCCTCCTCCCCTCCCCTCTTTTCCCCACCAACCCCCTCCCCCACCCCACAACAGCAAAAGCGAGCGCAGCAGCTGCAGCAGGAGGTTGACGTGGCAGAGCACAAGGCACGGCTCATCGAGCAGAACCTCGCTGACGTGGACGCAGCCATCCTGGCGGTGCGCGAGGCGCTGGCGGGCGGCATGGATTGGCAGGACCTGGCGGTGATGGTGAAGGAGGAGCGGCGGGCTGGGAACCCGGTGGCGGCGCTTATAGCGGCGCTGCATTTGGACCGAGGGCGCATTGCTGTGCTGCTCACACCGCCTGATCTGGACGGCATGGAGGATGAGGAGCGGACGGCTCCTGCTGCTCTGGTGGGTGCTGGTGGTAGGGGTGGTGGTTGTGGTTGTTGTGGTAGGGGTGGTGGTTGGGAGGAGGGGTTGTGGAGGGACGGAAGGGCAGAGGGCACATTGTAAGGGGCGCATTGTGGTGCTGCTCACGCCGCCCGATCTGGACGGCATGGAGGATGAGAAACGCACCGCCCCTGCTGCTCTGGTGAGTGGTGATGGTGGTAGGGGTGGTGGTGGTTGTGGTGTGGTGTAAGGGATGTGGTCGGGAAGGGGGGTTGTGCAAGGACGAGGGGAAAGAGGGGAGAAGAGGCAGGAGGTGGGGAGGACGGGGTGGAAAGGGGGAATGGGGGGGAAAGAGGGGGAGGAGGTTCGATTGACAATCAACCCTAAACCCGAAACTCCTTTGTGCTCGGAACAATCCCACTATTTGAGTCGACTCAAAAATAGACCCGAAACTCCTTTGTGCTCTCAACAATCCCACAATCCCCCCCTCCTTCCCTCACTCCCGCACCCATCCCTTTGCACTGGTGGAGTTGGATAAAGGCTCTCAGTCAGCATACGCCAACACTTGCCCCACCCACCCCATGCTCTCGATTGCACTGTCCTCCTCTCACTCCCGCACTCCCGCACTCCCGCACCACGCACTCCCGCACCACGCACTCCCTCACTCCTCAATGCCTCTCCCGCTCCCCTCCCCCCTCCCTCGCCCCCCCTCCCACCACCACCCGCCCACCTTCCCGTCCCTCCTCCCTCGCTTTGCGCCACAGGTGGAGGTGGACTATTCCCTGTCAGCGTACGCCAATGCGCGCATGTGGTTCCAGTCGCGCCCACCCTTCACACCCCCTCCCCATCTCCTTCCCACAACCATCCCTCCCTCCGCCACAGGTGGAGGTGGACTATTCCCTGTCAGCGTACGCCAATGCGCGCATGTGGTTCCAGTCGCGCCCACCCTTCACACCCCCTCCCCATCTCCTTCCCACAACCATCCCTCCCTCCGCCACAGGTGGAGGTGGACTATTCCCTGTCAGCGTACGTCAACGCTCCCCCACCCACCCTGTGCTCTCAATCGCACAACCCCCACCTCCCTCCCTCACCCACCAAACCCCCCCCCTCCCACAACCATCCCTCCCTCCGCCACAGGTGGAGGTGGACTATTCCTTGTCAGCGTACGCCAATGCGCGCATGTGGTTCCAGTCGCGCAAGAAGCAGCAGGAGAAGCGCAACAAGACGGAGGCCGCGCACGAGACTGCACTCAAGGCCGCCCACGCCAAGACCTCCCAGCAGCTCGCACAGGTAAGCTGCTGTCACTCGCATGGGTAAGCTGCTGCCACTCGCTCTCACATTGTTCTCACGTGCCTTGAAAACAAAACTGTTCTGAGGCGTCTTAACAGTCAAATCAGCAGCTTTTCTTCCCTCTCCTCCCTTCGCCCCTACTCCCCTTATCCTCCCTTCTCTCCTCCACACGCCTGCCCTCACTCAACCACTAACCCTTCCCCCTCATTGCACTAACCCCGCACCGCGCTTCAGGTGAAGGTAGCGGCGACGGTGCAGCACATGTGGCGGGTGCATTGGTTCGAGCGCTTCCACTGGTTCATCTCCTCCGAGAACTACCTCGTGATCTCCGGCTTCAACTCACCAGCTCCGCTCCCCACCCCACCTCACCGCATTGCACCCCCCCGTATCGCACTCCAGGCCAAAGTGGCGGCGACAGTGCAGCACATGCGCAAGGTGCACTGGTTTGAGCGTTTCCACTGGTTCATCTCCTCCGAGAACTACCTGGTCATCAGCGGCAGGGACGCGCAGCAGAACGAGATGCTCGTCAAGCGCTACATGCGCCGCGGGGACCTGTGAGTGCTCTTGCTTAGGCAGATGGGCACATGGGTGGGTGGGTGGGCGGGTGGGTGGGTGGGTGGGTGGGTGGGTGGGTGGTGGGTGGGTCCTTTCTTTTTCCACCTACCTTGCCCTACACAGACACACACACACACACTCACACACAGACACACACGCACACACACACACACAGACACACACGCACACACACACACACACACACACACACTCCCTTCCTCCTATCTTCATCTCATTCCTCTCCTGACCCCCATTCCACCATGTATCATACCTCCTCTACTTTCCTCTCCCGCTCACTACTTTCCACGTCTCCTTCTCCCCACCCTTCACCCTCCCCTACCGTCCCACTTCCCCTCTTTTCCCCATCGGTCAATTCGTGCACTGTTCCTCCGTTTTTTCCGTTTTTCCGTGATGTGATTCTATGCAAGAAACCAATGAGACTCATATGTTATAACCTGCTCTGTATGAAACACTCATGGTGACTTCCCATCCAACCCACACCTGTTTCCCGTTCACACACTCCTTCTCCACCCCCTCCAACCCCCCCCGCCCTCCCTCATCTCCTCGATGCTCTCCTTTTATCCGCTGCTCCTCCCCCTCCCCCCTCCCCACCTCACTCGTCCTCTCCGTGCTGCCCGTTTTCTCTTCCCCTACCACCAACCCCTTCCCCCACTACTGCCTTCTTCCCCCACTACTGCCTTCTTCCCCCACTACTGCCTTCTTCCCCCACTACTGCCCCCTTCCCCCACTACTGCCTTCTTCCCCCACTACTGCCCCCTTCCCCCACTACTGCCCCCTTCCCCCACTACTGCCCCCTTCCCCCACTACTGCCTTCTTCCCCCACTACTGCCCCCTTCCCCCACTACTGCCCCCTTCCCCCACTACTGCCTTCTTCCCCCACTACTGCCCCCTTCCCCCACTACTGCCCCCTTCCCCCACTACTGCCCCCTTCCCCCACTACTGCCCCCTTCCCCCACTACTGCCTTCTTCCCCCACTACTGCCCCCTTCCCCCACTACTGCCCCCTTCCCCCACTACTGCCCCCTTCCCCCACTACTGCCCCCTTCCCCCACTACTGCCCCCTTCCCCCACTACTGCCCCCTTCCCCCACTACTGCCCCCTTCCCCCACTACTGCCCCTTCCCCCACTACTGCCCCCTTCCCCCACTACTGCCCCCTTCCCCACTACTGCCCCCTTCCCCCACTACTGCCCCCTTCCCCCACTACTGCCCCCTTCCCCACTACTGCCCCCTTCCCCCACTACTGCCCCCTTCCCCCACTACTGCCCCCTTCCCCCACTACTGCCCCCTTCCCCCACTACTGCCCCCTTCCCCCACTACTGCCCCCTTCCCCCACTACTGCCCCCTTCCCCCACTACTGCCCCCTTCCCCCACTACTGCCCCCTTCCCCCACTACTGCCCCCTTCCCCCACTACTGCCCCCTTCCCCCACTACTGCCCCCTTCCCCCACTACTGCCCCCTTCCCCCACTACTGCCCCCTTCCCCCACTACTGCCCCCTTCCCCCACTACTGCCCCCTTCCCCCACTACTGCCCCCTTCCCCCACTACTGCCCCCTTCCCCCACTACTGCCCCCTTCCCCCACTACTGCCCCCTTCCCCCACTACTGCCCCCTTCCCCCACTACTGCCCTCCCACTACTGCCCCCTTCCCCCACTATCCCCCTTTCCACCCACTTCCGCCCATTCTCTCTCCCCCTTGCAGCTACGTGCATGCGGATCTGCATGGTGCATTGAGCACCATGCGTGTTCCAACTCCTTTTAAAGCATTTATAGCATACTCCCACAACCCCACCTTACCCCTCCCCACCTCCCCTCCCTCCCTCCCCTTCCCCTCCCTCCCTCCCTCCCCCCTCCTTTCCCTCCCTCTCCCCCTCCCCTCTCTTATACCCCCCTTTTCCCCCAACTCGTCCCTTCCTCTCTCTTTCCCACTCCCAGCTACATACACGCGGATCTGCACGGGGCAGCAAGCACAATCATGCGCAACACAGACCAGCACGGCCTAGCACCCATCCCCCCTCTCACCCTCGCAATGACTTCTGAGTCTACTCAAATGCCACTTCCCCCCTCTCTCTCCCTCCCCCCTCCCAGCTACATACACGCGGATCTGCACGGAGCAGCAAGCACAATCATGCGCAACACAGACCAGCACGGCCTAGCACCCATCCCCCCTCTCACCCTCGCAATGACCTCTGAGTGTACTCAAATGCCACTTCCCCCCTCTCTCTCCCTCCCCCCTCCCAGCTACATACACGCGGATCTGCACGGGGCAGCAAGCACAATCATTCGAAACACAGACCAGCACGGCCTAGCACCCATCCCCCCTCTCACCCTCGCACAAGCCGGCGCAGCCACCGTCTGCCTATCCGCCGCCTGGGATTCCAAAGTGGTAACTAGCGCCTGGTGGGTGTACCCGAATCAGGTCACTAAAACAGCGCCAACTGGCGAGTATCTGACCGTTGGATCATTCATGATCCGAGGGAAGAAGAATTTCCTTCCGCCCGTGCCACTGCAGATGGCGTTTGGGTTTGTGTTTCGGGTGGATGAGAGCTGTCTAGGGGCGCATTTGGGGGAGAGAAGGGTGCGCGGAGGGGGGGAGGAGGGGGAGGGAGGGGACGGGGGGGCGGTGGGGAAGAGAGGAGGGGGAAGAGGGGGAGAGGCGGCTGGTGGCATGGCGGCTGGGGTAGAAGAAGGGGAAGAGGACGGGGAAGGGGTATTGGACGAGGAGGGAGAGGGGGGAGTGGTTGGTGCTACTGCTGTCGAGGGAATGAATGAAGAGGGTGGAGGGGGGGTTCGGGAAACGGAGAAGCAAGAGAAGGAAGCAGAGAAGGAAAGCGGAGCACCAGAGAAGGAGGAGGAGGAAGAAGAGATAGAGGAGGAGGGAGAGGAAGAGGAGGAGGGGGGTCTTGAGGATATGCTTGATGCGGTGCTGTCAGTGGGGGGAGCTGGAGGCACGGGCCGAGCCAAGAGAGGCTCGGGCTCAGGTGCGGATACAGCACAGCAGAAGCAGGGTGGTGAACGGAAAGCAGACGGGAGAGGGCAGGCTGGGAGCTTATCTTCTGGCGTATCTGCTGCTGCTAAGTATGGTCTGGAAGACGTTGGTGTGGCAGGGGAGGGGGGCGGAGATGAGGATGAGGGGGAGGATGGGGGTGACAGGGAGAGGACCGGAGGGGATGGTGATGGTGGGAGGGGCGGAGGGCAGAGGAGGGAGAGGGCGTATGTGAGTCGAGCTGAGCGGAGGAGGATGAAGAAGGGAGGGGGGAGAGGGGAAGGAGGTGGAGAGGGGCAGGAGAGGGAAGCTGGTGTAGGAGGAGGGGGAGTGGAGAAGAGGGAGGAAGTGGCGGAGGAGGAGGTGGAGGAGGAGGAACAAGGGGAAGAGATGGGGAGGGGCAAGCGAGGGAAGGGTGGGAGGAAAGGAGGGAGTGGGAAGAAGGGGGTAGATGAGCAGGAGCAGGAGCAGGGACAGGCACAGGGGAGAGGAGGGAAGGGGGGTTTCGAGGCGGTTAGGGGAGCTCGGGGCAAGAGAGGGCAGAGCAAGAAGCAGCAGAGCAAGTATGCGGATCAAGATGAGGAGGAGAGGCAGCTTCGACTGGCCTTGCTGGGGGTATGTACGCAAGATGGTAATAACATTTTAACAAGTAACGTGATAACCCAATATCCGCTTTCCCCTTGGTCACTCTGTCGCTCACTCTTTCTCACAACAAGAGCTCGATTTCACCTAGTTTTGCCTTCTTTCGTTTTCACAATCAGGAGCCCTTACAAGCGCGGCAGTGCTCCACTTCACCATATCTCCCCCTCCAATCTTCCATAGAAACAAATATGGGTTTGGAAAAATATTTCATCAGCCTTCTTGTTCATGCTGCCTAATCTGTGTCTCTTCCTCCTGCCACCTTCCTCTCGTTCCCTCATCTCCCAATCCCGCCCCCTGCCCTCTTCTCTAATTCCCCCAGTCTGCAGGCAACAAGGAAAAAAAGGGGGCAGGCAAGGGCGGAAAAGGTGGTGGTGCTGCTGCCGCTGCTGCTGCTCCCAGTGCTGCTAGTGGTGGTGGTGGGGGTGGCAAGGGCAAGGGTGGAGGCTCTGCATTGAGTGAGTTGGTGTGCTTCAAGTGCAAGGGCAAGGGGCACCGAGCCAAGGACTGCACTGCTGATGCTGATGCTGCTGCTGCTGCTGCTGCTGCTGCTGCTGCTGCTGCTGCTGCTGCTGCTGCTGCTGCTGCTGCTGCTGGTGCTGCTGGTGGTGCTGTTGGTGGTGCTGGTGAAGGTGCCAGTGAGTTGAGCAAGGGAGGAGTGGAGCAGATCGAAGGGGGCAATGCAACAGGAACAGCAGGAGGAGGGACTGGCGGGGCGACAGGAGATGATTCCGCACAGTCAGAGTTGACAAGTGTTGGGGAAAGCAATGCGCTTGCCAGTGGGGAAGAGCAGGGTGTGGTGGCACAGGAGGAGCTTCAACTGGATTCAGATGCAACAGGGAGGGAGGAGGCAAATGGCTCACATGAAACCACAGGAAGCGGAGGAGCAGCAACAGCAGGCGAAAAGGAATTGGAAGGAGGAGAGGGGGGAGGAGGAGGGAGAGAGGCGGAGGGTGGGGAGAAGCTGCGCCGGCGGGCACGGGCGCGGGCAGAGGAGGCGGAAGTAGAGGCGATTCTGGCAGAGGAAGAAGTGGCAGAGGTGGGGGAGGAGGAGAGGGAGCGGCTGACAGAGATCGACTCACTCACGGGCATGCCTCTGCCCTCCGATGTGCTGCTGTATGCCGTGCCTGTGTGCGGCCCTGTGAACGCTCTCGCGAATTTCAAGTACCGGGTCAAGGTCACGCCAGGCCATCTTAAGAAGGGCAAAGGTGAGAGTTGTGTTGGCTTGAGGGGTAGGTGCATTGGTGCTTTTTTTCTTGCCTGGCGTTTGTTCGTACGGACACAGAAGAGGGTTTGGGAGCCTTTTGTTGCTTCTGTATTTTCGGGGCCATTCAACTGAGGGCGCACCGATACCTCATGAGAATCTGCTGGATGGCTCCGCACCTTGACACCTCCTTGACACGGTATTGGCACCTTGGTGTAGAGTGTCAAAGCCTGCGCCCATCTGCTCCATCTCGTTCCGTCCAGGTGTCTTGCAGTCATAAGTAGACTGGTCCCACACCGATACCTCCGATCTCCCGTCGTTTTTCCTGTTCCCGGCTCTCTCACTCACCACAATTCCTCCCTCACTCACCCGTTCTTCTCACCAATTCCTCATCTCTCCTCTCTTCCATGTGTGCACCGTTTGCAATGCGTCATGTGCCATGTGTCATGTTTCATGTGCCATGTATCATGTGTCATGTGTCATCCATGTGCCATGTATCATGTGTCATGCCATGTGCCATGTATCACATGTCATGCGTGTGCCGTGTGCCATGTGCCATGTGTCATGTGCCATCCAGCTGTCAAGCAAGCAGTGGACCTCTTCTTGCGCTCGCCGGACCTGTCAGCGCGGGAGAGGGAGCTCATCAAGGCCGTACCTCTCCCGGACCTGGTGTCTGCAATGATGTCCAATGCTAAGATCACGGCCCCGGGGCTCAATAAGATGGTCCGGGATAAGAAAAAGGGAGGGAAGTGAGTAGTTGTGGAACAGGGGTAGCTGAGGGTGGCATCGCAGGGTGTGTTTGGTCTGAGCCGGAGCATTTTCCAACTGTGGGAAAAGGAGTACATTTTCGCATGCACTTGCGCTGTAGGTATCTTCTCGTTGTCCCTAATCACACCGTGATTAGCATCAAGATTGGCACATCCATGTAACATCATTACATGGCACCACTATGCATGCTTTCTGAATTTGCACTTTTGTATGGTAAAAGCAAATTCGTTCTGTAGCCGACTCGTTGTCGTCACATAATACCGAGTTGAAATTTGGACTGGAAAACGGTCATTCGCCGACCATTTTCCGTTCGCAAGTGGGCCAGCGTCATGTCCGTCCCCACCCAATCAACTCCAGAAGACGGCTGGTTTTTTTTTCGCCGGCGGGATGGTTACCATCCACAATAATTTGGCGGGAGCCCAGCCGACATTTCTTCTAGATGCATGAGGTCGCGCCTCGTAAATTTCAATTTCCGCGGCGCCATTTCTCTCCAGTTTCTCGCATCCATTCTTCCCCCATCACCTCCTCCACCCCCAGCTCTCTTCTCTGAGCTATACTGTGAGAAAACCGTGATGCATTAGGTCTGTTGTGGATGTGGAAAAACGACTCTTGCTCCAGAAACAAACCCACATGCCGGCACCATTGTCCATTTTCCATTTCGTTTCGCGCCTGTGTGGCGCTTGAGAGCTTCTCCTACAATTTGCCTTTCTTATCCTTAACACATACCCCCATAGCAAGGCGCTGCTTTGCTGCTTTATCCACTTACGGTTGCTAGTTCACTACTTTCTTCAGGGCCAAAAACGTAGAAGTCGACCCTCATCATCTGAGAACTACTGAACAACGCATCAGTAAAGTCGAGTGGCGTATCTTTCGCGATATTAGAGCAGTCGAGTAAGCGCTTTTCCTTGCTCTCCTTGTCGTGCACAAACTCGTTCGCCAGCAATGAAAATCGTCAGGCTGCCCGCGGCAGGCAGTTGAAATGGTTGATAGGCAGACGGGACGGTACAGACACCACCATCATGACGATGACATCCGTTCTAGCGACCCCATGCGACGTCGTACGGGTAGACGAGCGACTTTCGCAGCGATTCCGTCTCTTCTGATATTGCTGCTTATACTCGTCGTAGCACCTGCGCTTTGCGGCAGCGCCGGTAGCGGGGGAAGCGACAGGAAGGGGGAGAACAGTGTGGGCAAGAGTAGCGGCAAGGGGGGGAGTTCCCGCAAGGGCAAGCAGCAAGGGGAAGTGCGCGCGTCGTCGGGAGCGCGGAGCGGCCAGTGCGACATATTCGAAGGTCAATGGGTCGTTGACTTCGCGCGCCCGCCCTACGACGACTCCTGCCCCTACCTCGTACGTTTTTTTTTTCTGCGCTAGTTCGCGCGGTAACCCCCTGCACATGCTTCCGCGGCGGCACTGGCGCACCTGCCATAGGCGGAAAACCAGCGCGCGTACGCTGGTACAGTGGTGGCAGCGGTGACGCGTTTCTTTGGCGAAAAAGGGGGTTCATAGTCGCGGTGATGGGAGCATGATGAGAGCGTAGGAGCGAGCCTGATAGACGGCTTGACTGAGCGCGCGATAGGCTGGAGTTTCGTCGGGAGGCAAACCAAGGATGTAATTTTCGTAAAAACATGTTTGCGAGACGCCTCAGTTTAAGCTGTTCAGAACATTTTAATCGTCGAGGCTGCTGCTGCGTCTTTCTCGTGGAGGATCTCAGCGGTTCTTGATGCCGTCGCTCACGTTGCGCGGCATGCAGCTGTGAAGCTCCAACTCCGCGTCCAACGCGTCCAGCGCGTCCAGCGTCGTTCTTGTAAGAGTCATCTCTAATCTCCCGCGTCAACGCCTCGCTCCCTTGCCGCGCCCTTCTTGCGACCAGCGCAACACCCAACCTTCAAGATCAACTGCCCCTTACCCTTTCCCTCCCCCCTCCTCTCCCCAAACTTCTCCTAACCCCTCCCTTGCAGTTCGGTCTGACGCGGTGCAAGCGCAATGGCCGGCGCGATTCGTCGTACGTGCGGCACTCGTGGTACTCCACGTCGTGCCGCCGCTTCATCCGCTTCAACTCCAGGTGCGCGACGCAAAGGCACTACCTGCCTTCGCCACTGCGAATCCGTGCGACTAGTCCGATTAGTCCAGTATCACCCACTTATTTTGCCGCGTTCCGGGTTGGCGCAAACGGTGCGCTCGTATCCGGCTGCTATTGCGCTCGATGCGCGCGTGCGCCCGATGCCGCTGTGACTACCCGTTAGTTCCCACTGTCCTTTCTCGGGCTTTAGCCCGTTCCCCTTCTGCCTTTGTCGGCTCGCTTTTCAGAAGCATGGTTTTATCACTTGTCTCAAGATCCCTGTCGCTTCCCACGCGTCCCACACGGCGCCGCGTAACCCAACTCCCCGCACGCTGTGCGGATCGCACACGTTCCTTCGTCGCAGGGGCTTCCTTCGCATACTCGCCAATCGCACGTTGGCGATCATCGGCGACTCCATCGCCATCGCCAACTTCCTCCCCGCCATCCTCTGCCAGTTGCGCGCAGTCACCGCCGTCTCCGCGCCCACGCGCCACCTGCTTCCGCGCGGGCCGCTGGGGCAGCGCTCTCCGCAGCTGGACGCGCGGATTTACCGCGTGCCCGCGGTCGGCGGGCGGATCGTGGGGATCTGGGACGACTATCTCATGCGCGTGACGCAGGGTGAGGGGGGCGGCCATCGCGCACTGTGGGAAATTGTGTTGTTAGGTTAACACTTGAAGTGTTCTTAAATTTGCAATCCTTCCCCCTTCCTACCATCGCGTTCCGCTGCTCCGACCTCCGCCACCCCTTCGCCAACCTCTCCCCGCCCCTCCCGCTTCCCCCGTTCCGCGCAGACAAATCGATGCTGACGCGGCTGTTTCCGCGGTACAGCGCGGCGGAGGCGGGCCCGGAGGACGTGGCGATCGACGTGCAGACGGCGAACCCGCAATGGGCGGCGCTTCTGGGGGCGGTAGATCTGGTGGTGCTGGAGACCGCGACGCACTGGCGCACGCTGCGCACTAAGAAGGCATCCGCCATGGCTATCACTGGGCGCGACTGGCGCGTGCTGCCGGGGGTGGACGCGTACCAGGGGTACAGGTACTGCGCAAGAGGGGCGGGATGGGCGCAAGGGGAGGCGGGATGGGCGCAAGGGGGGCGGGATGGGCGCAAGGGGTACAGGTAGGGCGCAAGGTACCTTAATCGTTTTCGAGTATCAAGTAGTGCGGTGAGGTTGCGCGCATGGTAACAGACGGCACACGGACCAGATTGGACACATGTCGAATCCTGCCCGCTCCTCCTGTCCCGCAAGTCCCGGCACACGGACCAGATTGGACGGCGGTACTGCTCTCCTCCAGTGGGGAGGTGCGAGCGAGGTGGATTCAGGCTATGCCTCTCTCCGCCTCTCTCCGCTTCTGCCTGTGGAAATAGTTTCGACCTGGATCCAACAGGTAACTCGTCCTAATCTTCTCTAGGCCGAGCTATAGGCTAGTAGGGACTGAGTAGGTAAGAAATCTTCATTCAAACCTGAGCGTACGCGCGTTTCGGCCGGTGGCCTTCATCAGCGCTATGCCTCTCCGCCTCTCTCCGCTTCTGCCTCTGAGCGCCCCTCCCTTCTCATCTCCTTACCCCCACCTTCCCCCCACCCCCCCACCACTCTCTTGCGCGCACAGCAAGGCGATGCAGACAATCCGGCGGCTGTTCGAGTCTCCGCGCGCCGCAGTCACATCCTCCTCCTCCCCCAGCGCGCCCTCGACGTTCTTCGCCGACGCGGATGCCGCCGACGCTGACGTGGACGACGGCGCATACGGTTACACGGATGAGATTGACGGTGATAATGATGGTGATGCGCGTGACAGCAGCAGCGCGAGCACGCCGGCACGCGGCCTTGCCTCTACTACAACCCCATCGCCGTCCACTTCAATATCATCATTACTATCACCGTCGTCGTCATCATCAGCAGCAGTAGCAGCATCGTCAGCATCAGCGGCTGCATCAGCGGCGGGGGGTAGTAGCAGGCGCGGTGGTCCTCTAGCGTTCTTCATGACGGCGTCCCCGCAGCACAACGCCAAGAAGCTCGGCGGACCGGGGCTCTGCGGGTCGCCCGGCCACGTGCTCACTCGGAAAGAGGTGCGCGCAGAAGGGGAAAGGGATGATGCGGCGGGTCTGTGACGGGGAATGAGACGGAGTTTTGAGACTCGGATCTCGTGCGGGGGGGGTAACATGCAAGGCAGCATGATGCAAGGACGGGAAAAGGCACTTACAGCCCACACATGTTCCTAAGTTGCACATTCCTTCTTCCGCATTCACCACCAACCCTCCATCCCTTTCAATCCTCATTTCATTCCCCCCCCCCCCCCCCCCCCTCTCTCCCCCTCAGGTAGCGCGCATGGAGCGCAACAACGTGCAGCTGTCGCGCTTCCTGCCCATGCAGCGCGCGGCCTTCCCCCCGGGGGGCGCGGTGCGCCTGCTGGACATTGCGCGCATCTCCGCCATGCGCCCCGAGGCGCACGTGGGCAACTGGTCGAGCGCCACTGGCAAGGTGAAGCGAGGGGTGAGGGATGAGGGGTGAGGGGTGTGAAGGGCGGGGGGGGGAGAGGAAGGGCTGGGGAAGGACGGTAGTTTCTGTTGCGGGGTTTCTGTGCAGACGGTATCCTTCCTTTTCCTTTCTGTGCTTTTTTTTCTCTCTTTCGGATGGTCCTTCAGATGGTAATTACAGGAGAAGGGGAGGATAACCAAGGCTGAGTGCTGCATGGAGAGAAGGGTTCTTGCTCTTTCCTCTCCTCTCCTCTCCTCTCCTCTCCTCTCCTCTCCTCTCCTCTCCTCTCCTCTCCTCTCCTCTCCTCTCCTCCCCTCTGCATCCATCCCCTCGCACTCCCTCACTCTTCCTCTCTCTTTAGCCCACTACTTCTCTCCTTACCTCACTCTCCTGCTGTCACCACATCCCCCCACATCATCATCACATCATCCCCTGCTGTCACGCCCATCATCCCCACCCATCCGCCCCACACCAGACGCGCTATTTTGATTGTCTACACTGGTGCCAGCCTGGCGTGCCGGACATCTGGGCAGACCTATTCTACCACCAGCTGTTGCAGGAGCCCTCGCTGCAACCCCCCCGCCCCTCCGCGCCCCCCTCTCCGCCCAAACCCTCAAAGCCCCCTTCTCGCCCTCCCTCCAAAGCCCCCTTCCCCACGTCCCCCTCCCGCTCGCCTTCCACCTCTCCCTCTCGCTCTCCTTCTCGCTCGCCCATGCCATCCAAGTCACCCAAGCCAAAGATACCCACCACCAGCAAGCCTCCCCGCAAGCCCTCCCCTTCCCCCTCCCCCACCCACAACCCCATCCCCACCCCCCGCCCACCACGCAAGAACAACCCATCACCCCCCCGCAAGTCCCCTTCCCCCTCCCCCGCACTCTTCCCCCAGCCTTTCCCCCGCCCCTCACCCCGCCCTCTCCCCAAACCCTCCCCGCAAGCACCCCCCAAGCTAAACCTTCAGCCCTTTCCTCGACCTTTGCCAAAGCCCACCTCCCGCCGACCCTCCCCCAAGCCTTCCCCCCATCCCCCAAACCGCTCCCCCCAGCCTACGCCCAAGCCGTCCCCCAAGCCCTCCCCCAAGCCTTCTGCCAGGCCTTCCCCCAAGCCTTCCCCCAAGCCTGCCCCCAAGCCTTCCCCCAAGCCTTCCCCCAAGCCTGCCCCCAAGCCTGCCCCCAAGCCTTCCCCCAAGCCTTCCCCCAAGCCCTCGCTTAACCCCGCCCCTGAGCGTCCCCCCTCCCCCTCCTCTTCCCCTGAACGCTCCATGCGGCCTCGTGATCCCCCATCCATGGATAACACCTCCCCTGGGAACAAGGGCGGGGGAGGGGGGAGAAACACAGGAGCGGGGGGAGGAGGAGGGGGGAGCAGCACGCCGAATCGCATGAAACCCCGGGTAGACACACACTTGCAGGGGGGAGGGGGAGAAGGGAGTGGGGGGGCAGGAGGATTGGGAGAGGGGGGACAGACAGGAGGGAGTGGAGGAAGGATGAAGGGCACGAAGATGAGTCCGAGTGGTGGTGTGGAGGGCAAGAGCGTTGAGAGCCAGGGATGGGGCGATGGAGCAGCAGCAGGAGGTGATGTTGATGATGGGTACGGTGCAGACGACAGTTACAGCAGTGGTTACGGTGATTATTCTGATGGTGATAGCGGTACTGGTGCTGGTGATGGCAGCATGGGGAGCAGTGCCAGCAGCCACGCAGCAGCGGGAGCTTCTGCTGCTGCGTTTTCTGCCTCGAGTGATATTTCCGAGTCTGATGATGGGGATGGTTACAGTTTGGGCGCAGAGCAGGCAACTTTACGTGGTCAAACGAGTGGGAAGGAAAGGGCAGGCAACAGCAGCAGGTCAACAATCATTATCACAGCATCTGCTGTCGCAGAAGCACCCCCAGCGACCATCCCTCTGCCTTCCAGTGAAGCAGCTGCTGCAAGCAGATTACACGGCCACCGCTCCCCCTGGCACCAACACCACCATCGCCAAAGCCAAAGCCAAGGCCACGATCGTGAGAACTACGCTGCCCGTGATACAGCTATGTTAAAAGGAGAATCTCAATCCGACAAGACTTATTCTGACGGCCTCTCCCTTTTGCTGCAAGGGAATGGAGGGGCGATGCCTGAGAGCAGTGCGGTGCCTGCGGAAAGCCCTCTGGTTGCCCGTGTGCTGCAACCACAGCCATTGCAAGCGGGGAACAGCCAAGGCAGGGTGCCTGTGGCATTACTTGCGGCAGATGGGGTTTGCATTCAACCAAATTGTACAGCTGATGCTTGGTAAAAGGTTTGGTGTCCTTGGTCTTGCTTGCCAGGCCAAGCTCTAACCAATCTCCAAGATCACGATACGCCCTTGGAGATCGTACCACAAGTTGAATGTGTGTAGGGTAAGGACGCATGTTCTCATAAAATACCTTGTCTTGCATGCTCTATCTGTGAGCTGCCGGTAGAGTGCATGTTAGTGTATGAAGAGCAACGGCAGAAAGTCTAAAGAAGAGGCTATGACAACGAGGCCAATTCTGGGCTTCATATGTTTTAGCAATAGACTTCAGCAATTTTAACTGTGGTGCTATTTTTTGACACTGTCAGACACCAAGGGGACCTCTAACACGAGATGCCTGTCTGGTGGCTGTCGTCTCGCCACGTCACAGAAGCATAACCCAATGGTCAGCATGAGCCTTGCGAAAGTGACGAATTGTGTGATCATGTAATCCCGAGGTTAGGGCGCGTTCTAGGTTGATGAGTTCATCCAGAGTAGCCGCCTCCCCATCTACATAGCCAGTCAGTTCGGTTCAGGTGGCTTGACAGTGCCGGTGGTCACAGCTGGTCTTGACACCGTGGGACAGTCCCTTCAAGTCAAGTGCTCCCAAGTGCTGTACAACACACAGCAAAATACCCCTTGACCTCTGAACGGAAACGATTTTGGTGAGTCCAATAGACAGGCGCGCGCAGACAAGTCCGCCATGAACGCGATCTGGTCCGTGATGTCCTTTGTTTGAATCTGTGTCCATTGCTGTGCTGAGGTCCGTCCCACGTGGAGCGCTCTTTTTTTCTATCCTGTTATTCTCTCCTTATTGCCGTCGAGGAGCTATGTCATCCTGTGCGAGAGCATCGAACTGTTCTGTGACCACTGGCGTCACACATTGTACAAGTCTCTCCCATATCAGGCGGGGGTCGTCCGCCTCGAGTGATCTGCTCTCGTCGAGCAAATTCTCTAGAGTATCGCAACCTTTGCGCCAAGCAGTCAGCAGCACGGCCGTCAAAAGCGCAGCAACTTCTTCCAGTCTTCGCTCACAATCCTTCTTTCGATTACCCTTTCACAGGCTCTCGTGTCTCTCCTCCCACGTACCAGCCTCATCCCATATCCGCCTCTCCCAGACCGCCTGTCTCTCCCCACCCCGCGCTTCCTCCGCTCCTAATGGCGGCTCCCCTGCCGTCACCTCCCCGTACTCCCCCCTCCCGCGCTCCGACCCTGACTCGCCCGTTTCCCAGTCTTCCGCTGCGCTACATCCGCTTATCCCTCCTCCTTGCCCCGTCCCTTTCGTTCTCTCGGCCTCAGACCTCTCGTCCGCATCTTCCGCCGTGAATCTCTCCGTAGAAGACTACATATGCCGTTATCTCCTGCAACCCGCCACCGACCGCGCTAGGCCTCCCATTTCGCGTTTCCACGTCTCCGCGATAGCAATAGGCGCTAAGACGGGCCGCGCATTCCTGGGAGTGAATCTCGAGTTCCCGGGCTTGCCTCTCCATAACTCTGTGCACGCCGAGCAGTTCGCCGTGGCTTCCGCCGCATTGCACGGCGAGCCCGCGCTCTCCGCGCTACTGGTCTCGCGCCCCCCCTGCGGCCATTGCCGGCAATTTCTGCAAGAGCTGCGCGGAGCAGAGGCCCTGCGCGTGATTATAGCGGAAGAGGCGGAGGAGGCGGAAGAGACGACCCTCACGCATTTGTTGCCGCATCGTTTCGGCCCCCACAGTCTACTAGCCGACGATTTCCCGCTGCTGCTGGAACAGCGAGACAACGGCCTGCAGTTAATCGATCCTGTCGACGCGCCATCGCCGTTGGATTTCATGGTGGTGCCTCCACTCTCCCGCTCTTTCTCCGCCTCTTCCCCATCCGCTATCGAGTCTGCAGCTGCAGCAGCTGCCTCTGCTGGTTCTCCCGCTGCGGTTCTCTCCACTCCTCTCGGGCAGGAAGCCGTTCTGCGTGCTCTAGACGCTGCCAACGCGTCCTACGCTCCCTACAGCCTGTCGCCCTCTGGAGTAGCGCTTATATCGCGGACAGGAGCGGTGCATGCAGGGTCTTATATTGAGTCCGCTGCGTACAACCCAAGCCTTCCAGCGTTGCAAGCGGCGTTAATAGCGCTGGTGGCGGAAACGGGAGGGGAGGGGGCGTACGAAGATGTGGTGCACGTGGCTCTTGTTGAGAAGGAGGGGGCGCAGGTGCGGTTTGACTCGATAACGGCGCTGTCTGTAGCGCGGATAGCCCCACATGCGACCTTCTCTCTGCATTTGTCGAGAGATACCCACCAGGCGACGGTGGGGGACAGTTGATTTGTGAAGGATCCGTTTGGAGGGGGCAGGGAGGGGGGAAGAGGAGAGAAGCTGGGAGTGGGTGAGGGGAGGGGAGAGGATGGCGGGGAGAGGCAGATGAGATGATGGTAGATGGCCTCAACTATGGATATCTGTTCTGCTGGTGGCCTTGGCACAAACATGTAAATGAAGGAATTCGGTGCACGGCTCTGTTGCTCCAATTCTATGTGCAGTCTTGATAGAGTCATTGCCTTTGTGATTGGCCATATTCTCAGGTCTGAAGATAACTGTGTGAGGGAGAGCTCGAGAGATACAGTGAGCTGTAAGAGTGATGGTGTGGTCTCCTCTCCCCCACCCACCCCTAATCCATTGCCATTCACATTGACAGACACATGTACTGTGGGATCTAATTCTAAGGGTACATTCCGCTGTGGACACATGTCCCAATCGATGTGTCCCAATCGTTTCTACCGCACTGCATCGTATTACACCAAATTGCACCCTAGTTTCGAAATTTTCGCGTCTCTGGTTTAGTTCGGTTCGGAGCGGTACACTCGATTGGGACACATCGATTGGGACATGTGTCCACAGCGGAATGTACCCTAAATGTACGGTATTGAGGCAGGCACGCAGCTGAATCATGAAAGACATTTCATGAGGTTCGAAGCCAAGCAGAAGGTGTCAAACAAATAACAGCAGGATTATTAGGAATGTATAAGATTATAACAGAAATTACTGATATTGCAGGCTCACCTCAGTCACAGATATTGTAGGAAATATATTTTCTGGCACACATGTAGTGATGTTAATCGGACCTAGAATCCTTTTAGTGAGGGGCCAAGCAAGACGGGTGTTGTTTGAGAATCCATCCACACACCTCCGAAAGCTCGCCAGAAATTGAACCGTCCCCCTCTGTCGCAGGTTGAGGGTTGCGTTGGGGTGACGGAGGGACGTGGCTTTCGGGTTGTGGTTGCCACCGAGCAGGGAAGGCTACGCTGACGATGGCTTTTCCTCCACGTCGGTATGCGACGTGGCCGTCAAGCCACCACCTTCAGCAACCCCAACTCCCCCACATCCCCTCCAACTCCCAAGCTCTGCTAGTGCAATTTCTGCCTATTCAGCGCCTTATCCCGCCTGGACGCTTCCAAGCTAATTCCACGTAGGCAGGAAACGTGGCGCCGTGACATCCTGGCGGGAGAACTTCGGGTTTCGTTCCTCAGGGAGCATCAGCAGGAATCTCTGCGCCTCAACGACTCCTTTTCAGCCTCCAATCCCCCATTCATGGTCACTCTACGACCAGAATTCTTGATTTCTGGTTCCTCGCTTCGCCTTCCTCACGCTCCTCCTAAGCGTCTAGCACGCGCTTCACGTACCCTTGCTGGTGTATTTGGTAGACTAGCAACTATGGCAGCTGCTACCCAGTCAGCCAATCTGAAGGTGTGCTTCCTCAGCGGGAGCGAGTCGAAGCTGGGCTCTTCCTTCACCCAAACTGCCTCTTTCGCACCTAAGACTGGCGTCAGCTCTACCCCTCGCAAGCTGACCGTCAGGGCCGCTCGTGAGAAGTTTGAGAGGACGAAGCCCCACGTTAACATTGGCACCATTGGACACGTCGATCACGGCAAGACCACCCTGACAGCAGCCATCACAACAGCTCTTGCCTCCGTCACTGGTGGCCAGGCTAAGAGGTAACATTTACAGCAAGTGCGATTTTATTGTAGGAAGGTTTAGGTCAGAAGTAATTGACGACAGGAATCCGACCTAACGTTTTTCTGTACAGGTACGATGAGATTGACGCTGCTCCCGAGGAGAGGGCTCGTGGTATCACAATCAACACTGCTCACGTCGAGTATGAGACCGAGGCCAGGCATTACGCTCACGTCGACTGCCCCGGCCACGCCGATTACGTCAAGAACATGATTACTGGTGCCGCTCAGATGGACGGAGCCATTCTCGTCGTGTCCGGTGCTGATGGTCCCATGCCTCAGACCAAAGAGCACATTCTTCTGGCCAAGCAGGTACACCATGCTGTCGATCTCATTTGTTTGTCATTTATTTTCGCAACCAGTTTCCGCTGGTGTCATTCTTACCCCTCACTTGGCTGTCTGGACTAACGCGAATTTCGGCTTCGCAGGTCGGCGTGCCCGCCATGGTGGTGTTCATGAACAAGGAGGATCAGGTCGATGATGCTGAGCTCCTCGAGCTGGTAAGGTTCTCGCGATTGAACTTAGTGGACACATGCGACATGTGGATCACCATGGCATGCCTTCAACTTTATAGAATGCATGCGGATTCGGAACTAATTAAACGATTGGGGTTCCATTTGTGCAGGTCGAGATGGAGGTTCGTGAGACTCTTTCCAACTATGAGTTCCCCGGTGACGACATTCCCATCACCGCTGGCTCCGCTCTCATGGCACTCGAGCACCTCACCGCCAACCCTGGCACCAAGCGCGGCGACAACCCCTGGGTGGACAAGATTCTGACGCTCATGGACACTGTCGATGAGTACATCCCCATCCCCGAGCGCGCTGTCGACAAGCCGTTCCTCATGGCTGTTGAGGACGTGTTCTCCATCACTGGTCGTGGTACCGTCGCCACCGGCAGGGTGGAGCGTGGCATTGTGAAGGTGAGAATCTGGACAGATTGCGGTCACGAGAAATTAGTTGAGTGCGGTAGAAATGAAAACAGCTGACACCTTTCACGGATCTCCGTGAGCCAAAAAACATGCCATGCCGGATTTTCTGTTTGCTGTACCGTCCCTTGCAGGTCGGTGACACGGTCGAGCTGATTGGTCTGAAGGAAATGAGGACCTTGACCGTGACTGGTCTGGAGATGTTCCAGAAGATCCTTGACGAGGCCATGGCCGGCGATAACTGCGGCATGCTTCTCCGTGGTATCCAGAAGACGGAAATCCAGGTACATTCGTCTTGATTGTATGTAGATGGTCATGCCTGACGACGTCGCCTTCCCTGGTTTCGCTAACGTGTTTCATTCCTAGCTGTTGTCTGTGTTTCAGCGAGGGATGGTGCTGGCCAAGCCTGGTTCCATCAAGCCCCACAACTCGTTCGAGGCCTCCGTGTACATCCTGAAGAAGGAGGAGGGTGGCAGGCACTCGCCCTTCTTCGTCGGCTACAAGCCCCAATTCTACATGCGCACAACTGATGTCACTGGATCCGTCACGAAGGTCCGTGAAGCACGAGCCCCGATGTTTTGAATTGTGTGTAGGTTTCCCGTTTCCTGAGCTGACAAGAAGTATGATTTATAATGCAGGTGCTGAGCGACAAGGGTGAGGAGACGAAGATGGTTATGCCCGGCGACAGAGTGAAGATGGTTGTGGATCTGCTTGTGCCCGTCGCTATTGAGAAGCAAATGCGCTTCGCCATCCGTGAGGGAGGTCGCACTGTGGGCGCTGGTGTTGTGTCCGAGATCCTTAACTAGATCGAGAGGCATACTACCAGACTTTGTCTTGATGTGTCCATTGTCCCCCAAGTGATGCTGATGATAATGTAGAAAGATTTTCCAATTCCTTAAAATGGTCCGCGTAACGTCCATTTACAGCCAGGCCGTGTGGGTAAAACTGGACTATTGCAACTTACTAGTAAATCAACATGTGCCATGATAAGACAATTGGACAGCATGACATCCTGCAGGTAGATTGTTCGTGACATGTTTCTCTCCTGAATAGTGCCAGCTATATCAGCATGCTTCCAGGTAAATAGAAAACTATGGTAGCATACTTACCATGTAGTAGATACAAGTCAACAATATTTGAAGACCACATTACCTCCTGGATTACAAATTCTCTTGCACAGTGAGGTCAGAAGAGCAGCGGTATATCTATAAGACCGACGTCATTGCCCCCTCTGTCCCTACCATTTCCCCCTCTCCCTGCCTGCTTTCCTCCTCCACAAATGAGGGCAGCACACCCGACTTGGCAGCAAATATGGCCTCGTCCATCCTTTCCTCTGATACTCCTCGCAGCAGCCCCCCTGGGAAGAGGACAGAGCAGGGGGGAGTGATAAGGAATGTGATGACGAGCTCATACAAGTGAGGGGAGAGCAAGGGAAAAAGGGTGAGGAGTGCACGTAAGGGGAGTGAAAGTGAGTGAGTGTGTGTGTGCGTGTGAGAGAGAGGGAGAGAGAGAGAGAGAGAGAGAGAAAGAGAGAGAGAGAGAGAGAGAGAGAGAGAGAGAGAGAGAGAGAGAGAGAGAGTGGAAGGGAGAGTGGAAGGGGTGTGTTTGCTTGCTTGTCTTCGTGCTATCTGGAATCCACCCCTAGAATCTGCATGTCTGTACCTGCCCTTATTATCAATACAAAGGACCGGTTGAGAGAGAGAGAGAGAGAGAGAGAGAGAGAGAGAGAGAGAGAGAGAGAGAGAGAGAGAGAGAGAGAGAGAGAGAGAGAGAGAGAGAGAGAGAGAGAGTGGAAGGGAGAGTGGAAGGGGTGTGTTTGCTTGCTTGTCTTCGTGCTATCTGGAATCCACCCCTAGAATCTGCATGTCTGTACCTGCCCTTATTATCAATACAAAGGACCGGTTGAGAGAGAGAGAGAGAGAGAGAGAGAGAGAGAGAGAGAGAGAGAGAGTGGAAGGGAGAGTGGAAGGGGTGTTGAGTGGAAGGAGAGTGCACATATACATGGATGCTTGTGTGTGTCTGTGTGAGTGCACTCATGTACCAATATAGCTGAGCTGGCGTCGCCACCCGTTCTTCCCCCGCCGTGTAATGACCTGGGCAGCAAAAATGAACAGAGTGACAGAGGAGGAGGCAGAGAGAGCGCAAGCACAAAGGAATAACGGGCGACATTTGCTGGTTGGTAGTTGGTGATTAAATTGTTTGATGGTTGATTAATAGGGCAAGATAACCAAGAGGGAGGTGAGGGAGATACCACCACTGTGTGCATGAAGGGAGAGTGGGGCATGGAAGGGGTGTGAGGGGGTGAGTGAGAGTGTGTAGTGTGTGCGTGAGTGTGTGTGTGTGTGTGTGTGAGGGGGAGAGAGAGAGAGAGAGTACCTGTGCGAGCTGCACTGCCTCCAGTGTTTCCTCGGGGAGATCCATCCACCTGCGCAGGGAGAAGAGAGGAGAGCAGAGGAGAGGAGAGGAGAGGAGAAGAGATGTGAGGAGGGGCGATGAGAGGAGGGGAGAGGAGAGTGGCGAGCGAGGGAAGGAAAGGACGTGCATGTTGTGTATGTCTGTGTGATACAGAGAATTAGAGGGGGGGGGAGAGAGAGAGAGAGAGAGAGAGAGAGAGAGAGAGAGAGAGAGAGAGAGAGAGAGAGAGAGAGAGAGAGAGAGAGAGAGAGAGAGAGAGAGGAAGGAAGAGAGCTAGCGAGAGAGAGAGAGAGAGGGAGAGAGAGAGAGAGAGAGAGCGAGAGAGAGAGAGATAGAGAGAGAGAGAGAGAGACAGAGAGAGAGAGAGAGAGAGAGAGAGAGAGAGAGAAAGAGGGGGGGGGACAGAGAGAGAGAGGAACAGTACAGAACAGAACCAGGCAAGATGAGACTTACCTCACGACTCTCTGCAACTCCTTTCCCTTCAGTTCCACCAGAGCCGATCCATAATCCTTGGCCTTCTTCGCGCTCCGCTTCGCCGCATTGCGCCCCTTCCCCGGCACACCGCGCCTTGGTCCCTCCACCGCAATTTCCCGCTCCGACTCCCCACCCCCCGCTCCGCCAAACACCTCCGCGGGCCCCGCGACCAGCTCCGCGTCGTCCCGCGCGCGCCGTGCATTTCGCCGCCTGTCACGGCCGCGCAGCTCTGCTTCTAGCGCGATCCCGTCCCTAATCTCCTCGTCCGTTAGACTCAGATCAGACCAACCCGCGGGAGTGGCCGTCGCGGCTACCGTTCCGCGCCCGCTCTTGGCGCGGCGGAACTCCGCGCCGATCGCTTGCGACGACCAATCGGTCGCGAATGGCCATTCGCCCGCTCTCCCCACGACTGCCACTGAGAGCGCGCGACGATCTTGGAAAGCCGCGGGACTCGCGGCGATCCATTTGACGCGTGAATTAGGTCGAGGCGATAGTAAACAAGGATGAAGCGTGGGACTGCATGGGCTTGTGCTGTCGTGGCGGGTCCAGTCTAAGCTGCCTTGGGATCCCCCTGTGCGACTAAAGAGACCTCGTGCTTTGTGTCGCAGCATCAGCTCTATCCGAAATCTCCCATGGTGGGCTGACATCCAGACCTTGCACTGTAGGCGACTGAGTGTGCCTGCCATTGCCGGACTTCTCGCGGGGGAGGCGGGGTGGAATTATGGAGGTTTAGCGCCGCGGGGTTGCACACTGCCTTAGCACTTCCTCTGGCCGAGGAAAGCGCGGCTGTGGTAGTGTAGAAGGTAAAGACTATGGCGACGATTGCAAAAGCGAAAAGGAGGCCAAAACCTGACATTCTTTTACTGGGGTTTGCCTTTGTTTGGGTGTAGTTTGTTTGTTATCCCAAAACGTTAACGGTAAACCCAAACCCTGGTCACTGTTTTTCCACTTCATATTGGACTAACCTGCACATCTCTGGCTCAATATATCTCTGGTGATTCAGCATGGTGATTCTAAACCCTCCCTGCCATTCTTTCCGAGCTAAACTCAACACGGTTATTCATAGAATAAATGGTGTACGAATCACATTATCTAATGAAGCTTACAATACGTTACTATCATTCTGGTTAACCCTTGACTTCAACAAAGCAAAATTCTACGGAAATACTCTTGTATGGGGGATCCACAGCCCTAACGAGAGTGGTCACGAGTACCAGCAGAATTTGTGAATACTAGGCTGACGAACTGTGCGTCCAAGGTCACAGTGCAGTATTGATTAGAACGCAGCGGCGCGCCTGCAAACACGCGTCAGACAGGAAAAACGTGAACCACAATAGCAGAATGACACGGAACATTAGACCGCAAACATGTAGGGAGCTTACGAAAACGAATGCTCCAGAGATGAAAAACCCTGAGCTAGCGTGTCACACAAACAAAGCCACTCTAAACCCGAGCAGTGCAGAAAGCCGCCGCGACTGACCTGAGGGAAGCCCTTTTTGCTGTCGCCATTGTTGAGCCACCCGGTCTGGCTCAGTTGCACGCTGTCGATCCTTATCTGCACGCACTTGCCCTTGAAGCTCTGCCACGACCGAGCACGCAGCACATCGCACACCGCACATCGCAGGGGCATCGGGCAAGGTGAATTCAGAATCAGTGCGACCGATAGCGAGGCTGGCTTTCTTTAGTAGGCGTGGATGCTAGAGGTGGCTGGAAGGGCGGAGTACTTACGGGGACGAATTGCTTGGGGATCATGCGGCTGGCGATAACGCTCGTCGTGTTCAATTTGGTGTTGCGAGTCATGAAAAAGAAGTAGTTTCCGCACGCGCCCGTCGGCTGGGAGTCACAGACGAACGACAGAAACCAGCGGATGTTCAATGAGGAAGAATGGACGGAAGAAATTTGACAGAAAGAACGACACTGGCTCGCAGCGGGTATTAAACTGTTTGGTTCGCCGTACCTGCTTTTCGTTCAGGAATGAGCAGAAACTGGAATATGCCGCGTTAACCGCCTGTCCGCTCCTGGAACATTGCGCCACACAAGCAAAAGTCTCAAAGGTTCATGAGCTCGACAATACAAGACCCGGTAATCAGGTCATCGAGTGAGAAGAGTGAGAAGAGTGTGAATGAGACGTGAATTTGAGAAGGAATGGCGTATCTTACTTGTGCAGTACCGGCGCGTTGGAGAGAATTCGGTTGCCGTTCACGGCCTCGACTGTCATTGTGGGGACGGCGCCCGCGCTGCCCTTCACAACAAAATCGCATTTCTGCCATACATTCGCGCAAATCAAGACTTTAATTTCGTGACAATCTGTAGCTGTGGTCGATTATCCTGTCTAGAGATAGCAATGGCCGCTTACCTTGAGCTGTGCCGGGGTGCACCGCTCATCGGCACTTGCGGCGGCCCCAACTGCACGAGCAAACACGAGCGTAAATGGTCTTGCCGAATTTTACATACTCAGAGGAGCGCATCTATTCGAAACTTACCAGAAAAGAGGATCACGGCGACTAGAAACATGTTGAAGGCCATTTTGCCGAGGATTGTCTGATAGAGACTGCGAAGGTGGAGGTGTGCAGAGCAGAGGAAAGTTGTTCTAGGTTGAATGGAAGTGGTGATTTCTGCTTGAAATGGATGTCAAAATGCCAATTTCAGGGGGGTATCTCATGGTGGAAGGGTGCTCCAAGACTTGCCTGGGGAGGCGGTACGAGTCGCGTCGCGGCACCACCAAGGGCGCAATGTAGTACAGGTGCGCAATGCACAACGCGCAGATGTACAGTTAGCGAGCTTGGTGCGGGTGTGGCTTGGTCGCGGAATGACGGAGACGCTCGCGCGAATAGCGCAGAGCGCCACCGTCCCAGCCCACTTGACCAAAGGCAACGCACTCCCGCCCTTGGCGCTGGCTTTCTGCTGTGCGAGGCGAGCCACCGAGTGGGTGGGGCACGAAGCGTCTTCTGCGACCAAACCAACGACATCGCAGGCCCACATCACGGTCGCCACGTGGCTGGTTCGCACGAAACCTCACACTGGCTGAATGAGGGATTGCCCCGGGCAAGCTCGTGACCACGAAAGCTTGCTTCGTAGGTTTTTGTAAATAAAATACACTTCGTCAATATTGTTGAACAAAGAAAACTAAAAGTACCCTCCACTTAGAAGTAAACCTCACCTCAACACTCAACCCCCTCATCAAGGTCAGCCCTACTTCCTTGCCCCAACACGTGAATGCAACCTGTTATATTCATACTCAGCATATTTGAAACACGATTTGTACCTTAAACATGAACAGAGAGTTGGAGGAAGTGCTCAACTCAAACACATCACAATATACATACGGTAGCAGCAAACTCTCTAGCCTAACGAAGCCAATTACTGGCCTTACTGCTTCTTCCCACTTCTGCCTGAACTGAACCCCGAAGCAGAGGATGATTTGGAAGAGCTGCTTGAAGAGACAGGCGCCTTGTCTGAGGATCGAACAGCCACCCCAACCACGTGACGGTCAACAGTGGGCAACACATAGTCATAATTCACCTGCTCGTATAGGGGTAATACCACCTGGCGGAAGGCAACGGGAAGTTGGGGATCAAGGGAGGAGAATGACACAGTGCAGTGCGGTGCCGTGAGGGTTTGATAAGGGTTTCGCGTCTGAAGTTAAGGTTTGGGTGGAATGGAGTGGTGGGGGTGTGGTGTGGTGTGTGGGAGGACAAGCATGTGGAATGAGCGAGAGAAAGCAGCTGTGGCTTGTGCGACAGGCTGATAGCTTGTACTAGCAGGCGGGCAGGCGGGCAGGCATCCGGGAGAAGCAGAAGGCATGCAGTAGTAGGTGGCTGTTGAGGCATATGCACGTGCATACCACAGAGGAATATCATAGTACGTGCACTGTGCATGCAAAGAAGCAATGGCGACAAAGCACGGGAGCACTGGGAGGGGCAGAGAGAGAGAGAGAGAGAGAGCGCCCACTCACATCTGGGAGGAAGGAGAAGGAAGGGCGGGTTGTGTCCTTGACTCCCGGGCTGCCACTCTCACATGCCTCCACGAATATCAGTGGCTGCCAAGAGGGACGGGTTGGGGGCAAAGGAATTTTGAGGCGCCTCAAAAGTCACCCTTACATGCCTCCATGAATATCAGCGGCTGTGAAGAGGGAAGGGTTGGAGGTGGAAGGAAGGGTGGAAGTGGGGTGAGTGGTGAAATGAGGGGGGAAGAGGGGGGCGTAAAGGGGTGGGGAGGGAAAGAGAAAGGGGGACTGGAAACGAGAGGGTGTGGAAAGGTGGTTAGAGAAAGAGGAGGGGTATGAACAGGTGCGGGACAGTTGTGAGGTAGGATAATGAGTCAGTGGTGCTGTGCGATGCCGTGGATACATGCAGCGGTACAAAACCACACATTCAACAGCACCCGCAACAGCATGTGCAACAGCGTATGCAACAGCACACACAACAGCACACGCAACAGCACACTCAGGCCGAGAAACGAATGTATGCTGCCCACAGGGAGTGAGAGTGCAGTGGTGGAAGCAAGAAACATCCGGGGCGCATACCCGGTTTGGTTTGAGGATTCGAGCGATGCCTGCAGCAGCTGTGGTGGCTTCAGCTGGTGTGAGACGCTTGAAGCCGTCCACTGTGATCTGATCATGGCCACATGCACACACACAACACAGGCGCGTGTAAAGGGGAAGAACGGCAGGAATACTTTTGAGACGTCTCAAAAGATGGTGTGAGGCGCTTGAAGCTGTCCACTGTGATCTGATCATGGCCACACGCACACAGGCGCGTGTGCCGGAATAAAGGCAGGAATAAGAACAGGGATGCAACCACAGCAACTCAGACAGTGGCAATGTGCCGCATGGCACGCACACGCAGCAAGACAGACAAGAAGGCAAGTGAGGGAGAAGGCGACACAGAGAGCAGAGGCAGAGGCAGATAGCAGAGAGCAAAGCGCGAAGGGGCTGGAGCACACGGAGAGTTGTAGTGGTTACCACGGCGTCGACAGAGGCCGATTCAATGCGGTTGAGTGCGGTGAGGCCGTCTGGCAGCACTTCAATCGCCACTCCTGATGAGATGGCTGTGACAGGGAGGGACAGGAAGCAGGGCTTTGAGGGGATCTCATAGGCAGCAGGGAGCAACAGAGGCATGCTGGCATGATGGCATGATGGCATGCTGGCATGATGGCATGATGGCATGCTGGCATGATGGCATGCTGCATGCTGGCATGATGGCATGCTGGCATGATGGCATGCTGCATGCTGCAAGGCCATGTGTATCATCACCATCACACGCCCAGCGGTCCCACACACAGAGCAACTAAACCCCTCCCACGTCCAACTAACCACACCATGCAGGCCACTACACCTGCCTTTTGAGTCGCCTCTGAACCCATCCCTGCTGCTTCCCTTTCACTTGTGGCTTGTTTGTTCAGGTCCTGCAGTGCACAGCTCTCGACTTTTGAGACGTCTCAAAAGTTGGTTGTGAAGGTTCTGCAGTGCACAGCTCGCGCTTTCTTAACTCTATGCCTCGCGTGTGCCACCCAATTCCACTCCCCTTCCCCCTCAAATGGTCCTTTGTATTAATTCAGCAGGGGGGACAGACATGCAGTTTAACTCGTGATTCCCTTGGACCCTCTGACCCATTAACCCGCCCCTCTGACCCTCCTTCCCCCCTGAGTGACCCTCTACCCCTCCAGCGTGTGGAGGATGTCCCCTAGGTGCAGCGGCCAGGGGTCCGCTGCCATCTGGGGGTGTGCTGCCTCGATACCCGCCCTGGCCTTGGTGTGCAGGGCATTCGCCTGGGAGCGCTGGAGGGCCACTGACCAGCGCTGGCTGAAGTGACAGGCCATCTTCCCCTCTCCCTCCCATGTAACCCCTGACTCCCATTTGAGGGTTTTGAGTCGACTCAAAACACCCCCTTTTCCCCCCTCTTCCCCTTCCGCCCTCCTCCATTCGCCTCAGACCTGTGCTCGTCCCATTGTTTCAATCCAACAGCTGGCTGCACTGGCAGTCTGGCACTACTATTCAATACTCGCAAGAAGCAACTTCTGAATTGCCTCACGAGTTCCCAAACGCATAGCAAGTACTCCTCCCATGCCTCCCCTCCTCGCTGTGTGCTCACCCTGCTGTTTCAGCAGGCTCGGCTGCACATCCGTGGGAGGGAAATGTGTTGCAGAGCGTGTTTTTTGAGAATTCTCAAAAAACAGGCTCAGCTGCACATCTGACTGCCTGCATGGCCAGTAGCTTCTCAACCTCGTCAGGACTCAGGCGGAGAATAGACGCTCCTCGCCCTCACCCACTCTTCTGCGCTCGCAGCTCACCCTGTTGTTTCAGCAGGCTCAGCTGCACGTCTGACTGCATGGCCAGCAGCTTGTCAACATCGTCAGGACTCAAGCGGAAAATAGACGCTCCCCGCCCTCACCCACTCTCCCCTGCCACCCCTACACCCCTCCCCTCACATACCCTCCTTGTCATCCCTCCCCTCACTCCCCCTCTCCCCCTCTCCCATCCCCCTCTCCATCTCCACTTTCTCTCCCCCTCTCTCTCCCCCTCTCTCTCCCCCTCTCCTCAACCTCTTTCCTTCCGCTCTCACCCTGTTGTTTCAGCAGGCTCGGCTGCACGTCTGACTGCATGGCCAGCAGCTTGTCCACGTCATCAGGCAGGTAGTAGATGTTCCTGCCGCTCCCCGCGCGGAAATCCAGCACTACCGCGCCGCCACGTGGCACGTGCCGGCCCACGAAACGCGCCACTAGGAACTGGAACAGGGGGGATGGGGGGAGGAGGAAGGGGGGGGGGAAGGGCAGTTGAAGGCTGTTCGATTAATCCACTCATGGAGGGAGGCGTTGTAAGGAAGGGGGAGGGAAAGCTGTGGGGAAGAGGTGGGGAGAGGAAGGGGGAGGTGGGGGGGTTGTGGGGGAGAAGGATGTGAGAGAAAAAATTCATGAGTGCAGCTCATGGGTGTGTTTCTGGCTGGGCATGAATCAAGGCGATGATCGTGCAAGGCGCTGCAGTGATGCAAACCACGATTGACCGCATTGAACCGCACCTGCAGTCGGAAGTACGCGTACGCCTTCACTCCCGCGAACACCGCCCCCGCGCCAGCCACCGCCCCCGCAGCGACCAAGACCGCGGGAATGTCCTCCGCGCCGCCCGCTTCCGCCGCCCCCGCAACATCCTCCGCGATGTCCGCGAGCGCGGGCAGGGCGGGGAGCAGCGCGGCGGAGAGTGCCGCTAATGGGGCGCGCAGAGCATGGGGGAGGCGGAGCGGGGAGGGGGAAGGGGTAGCTACGTGGCACTGGTGCAACGGGGAGTCGACGGAAGGTTTGGCGGAGACTGGGGGAACTGTCACGGGGGCGTTAACGCGCAATGTTGCGACAGCGGCGGAGCGACGGCGGAGGACGGCGGGAGAAGCGGGTGAGGTAATGCGGGCGGGAGAAAGAGCGAGGGAGAGAGAAGCCATGGGCGCGCGGAGGTTTTGCGGCACGGGGTGCTTGGAGACGCGTCGCGATAACCCCGACTTTGCGGAAACGGTCTTATTGGGTGAAGCGAACGAAGGAAGGTGAGGGGCAACGAGTGTGATGATGAGAATAGGCTTGGCGCGCAGTGAATGGGAGGGGATTGGCTTGGTTTGGATTGTGGATAGAAAAGGGGGCAATTGTGATTCGTACTATATAGAGTATGCATGGGAGGGGAAGTTCTGTTTGAATTGGCTTCTGGAAGAACACGCAGTCTATATATACTCTAGAAGCTTACACCGATTAAATACGTAAGAGACCTAGAAATTTGAACTCAAGACAAGCTGGACCGTATACGTACTACGATATCACTAATGAAATGTATTACAAGACAAGATGGCTTTATAGCTCACTAGTACCATATCCCTCCACTACAAATATGCAAAGCAACCGGATTAGAAAGCATTAGAGTTAAAATGAGAGGATTAGCTTGGTAAAAGCAGGAGCTAGGAATAGGAAAGTAGAACAGAACAGCACAGCAAACCTAACCAGAGCCATTCCGTTCCAAGCCAGTGGAACAGAATCAAATCAAATCAAGTTCCTGCCCACACAGCCCAAACACAGCCACCATGCCACATTCAGCCGCAATGCACCGCACTAAACCACACATGCACCCATGACCTATCATGAGTTACCTAGGGGCCAAGCACCCCAACGGCCATGTCACAGTCAGGTAGAAAAAGCCAATCCAGATGCCACCGTAACTCAAACAGGAGGTTAGCCTTGCGAACTAAGCTTTACTGCTTTGCTCCCGCCAGTGCCGAGATTCACTGCTGTGCTGACGATTCAAAACAAGGCGATACCTGCCGAAACAGCCCACGCGAGTGTGGGCGGCATTTGGTGCACACATGGAACAACAAAGGTCCAGATTGGTGTTTCAGGTTGGATTTGAACTCCGGCATGAATGCATAGGGCGTGCTTGCACAGTGATGGGGAAAGAAGAATGATGAAGCAGGAAAAGGTAGAGATGAGGAAGCAAAGGTGCGCAAAAGGTATGCAAAGGTATGAAAGGGAATGCAAAGGCATGCAGTGGTATGCGAGAGCAGTGAGAGGCAAAGGTGGTCAGCAGTGCTACATTTCAGTACCTTCCCTTGCCGTCCATCCCTCACAGCACCTTCTCCTCCTCCCCACCCTTCCCCCCATCGCCATCCACATCGCCATCCCCCCCCTCCTCCACCCCGCACACTAGATCCGCGATCGCACAGAGCAGCTTGCGGCGCGCCCCAAGCGCAACACCCATGTCTTTCAGATCATCGGCAGTAAGCACAGTGGCAGCCTCAACATCCACCTCGTTCTCCTCAAATGTGCTGCTGTATCGGGCCAGGCCGAGGGACCCTAGCCATGCGCCCACCCCCCCCACCGCCTTGATCCGCTCGCGCCCTCTCTTCATGCGATCCAGGTACCCTAGCTTTGATTCCGCTCCGGGGCTTGCTCCTGTGCCTGCTGTGCCTGCGGTGCCAGCGTCGTTCTTGTCCCCGTGAGCCTCCTCCGCTTGGGCCACCTTCTTACCGCTCCTCCCATTGCTCTTCCCACGACCTGCGCCTGCACTCGCCCCTGCCTTAGCAGCCGCCCCCACTTCTGCGTCTGCCACTCTCCCAGTTGCAACAGCAGCAGCAGCATGGTCTGTTCTCGCGCGCTTGATCGCAGGGACAGGGGTTCTCTTGCCTTGAGTCACTGCTGCCCTCTCCCCGCCCGCCTCCCCCCCCTTCCTTCCATTTCCCACCGCAACCCCCGTCTTTCCTTGTCCCTTCCTCCCCCCCTTCCCATACTCCTCTGAGCTATACCCCTCCTCCTCCTCTTCTTCTTCCGCTTCCTCCTCTTCCTTCTCCTCGTCCTCTTCCTCCCGTGTCTTTCTCTTCCCACCTGAAGCAGCAATAGTTCCACTCCTCGTTCCAATCGTTTGTCTGCTCCTGTTCCATCCCATCTCCTGCTTCTGCTCCGGAACCGCCTTACCACCACCCCTCCGCGCCCCACTCACTGCCCCACTGTCCTTGCTCTTGACTGCACTCTCCTGTGGTGCAGATTTCCCTACAGCCTCCCCACCCCTCCCCTCCCCGTCCTTCCCCCCGCCCCTCTGCTCCGCACCCTTCCCCCTCGCCCCAGTAACAGCCGCCCCTGCTGCCGCCCTCCCCCACGTACCACCTGCCCCTGCAGCCCTGCTCCTGTCCCTGCTGTCCCTGCCACCCGCACTCCCCCCAGGAGCCTTACCATCAGCCGCTACAGCCTTCCCCCCTTTGCCCATCCCAGCAGCTGCTGCTACAGCCATCTTTCCCCTTGCGCCCACCTCTTTCCCCCCAAAGCCTCTGCTGTCCTGCGGAATAGGACGGATCTTAGGGGTGGGGGACTTGCGTGCAGGAGAATATTTCTTCTCATCCCCTTTCCCCAGCTCCCCAGCTCCCCCCTTCCTCCCCACATCCCCCTGCTTCCCTCCCTTCTGTCCCTTTCCCTGCGCCTGCTTCCCCCCATCTTTCCCCTTAGCCCCACCCACCTCCTTACCCCCACCCGCCTTTCCCCCAGACCTCTGTGTCCCCTTCTTATCTCCCCCCTCCCCCTCCTTCTTACTCTTCCCCCCCACAGGAGTCTGAGCACCTCCAGTTTTAGCTCGTTTCCCAGCAGGAGAAACAGCGCTCTCTTTCCCCCCTCCTGCTGCCCCTCCCGATGCTGCAACAGCAGCAGCAACAGCCGCAGAGGAGCCAAGGCGGGCACTAGCGGAAATAAGCTCCCCCAGACGCACATTAGGCTTCCGCTGCCGCTTCCCCAGCACCACCCCCTCCGCCTCACTCTCCCCCGCTCCCCCCGCGCCCCCCGCTCCCCCTGCACCACCCACGCTGCCCCGCCTTCCGCCCATGGCCCTGCCCCCGTCTCTTGCGCCCTTGCCTGCGCTTGAGTCCCCAGAAGCCCTCCTTCCCTGTGCAGGTTTCTTCTCTTCCTCCTCCGATTCCTCCTCTGATTCCTCCTTTTCCTCCTCCCCCTCCTCATCCTCCTCGTCTTGCTCCTCCTCTTCTTCTTCCTCCCTCTCTTCCTCCCTCTCCTCTTCCTCCTCCTCTTCCTCTTCCGATTCAAGCTCCTTCTCCTCCTTCTCCTTCTCTTCCTTCTCCTTCTGGGCCTCCCTCCTCTTCGCCTCACCTCCCTTCTCCTCCCCTCCTTCCCCTCCCTCCTCTTCCTCCACCTTTCTCTTCTTTGCAACACCCACACCCTCTTTCCCGCCCTTCTCACCTTTCTTATCGTTCTCCTCCTCCTTTCCTCCTTCCCTCGCATCCACATCCATATCATCTCCTTCCTCTTTCTTCTCTTCCTCCTCTTCCATCTGCTGTCCTTTCCCCCTTCCCTGCTTCCCTTCTTTCTCTCCTTCCACCTTTCCAGCTTCGACTCCTCGTACCCCCTCCTTTCCCACCTCCCCATCCTTCTTTTCTGTCGCTTCCGGCCCTGCATCCTTCGATTTCCCGTCGCTCTCCCTGTCTCCCTCCCCTTGAGACTTCTGAGCGATTTCAACGTGGGGCTTCAACACATTGCCCTCCCTCACTTCAAGAATCTTCTGCTTCTCGTCCCTCTCCTTCTCTTCTGTTTGCTCACCTTTCTTTTCTTCCTCCTTCTCTTCGCCCTCCTTCTCTTCGCCCTCCTTCTCTTCGCCCTCCTTCTCTTCGCCCTCCTTCTCTTCGCCCTCCTTCTCTTCGCCCTCCTTCTCTTCGCCCTCCTTCTCTTCGCCCTTCTTCTCTTCTCCCTTCTTCTCTTCTCCCTTCTTCTCTTCTCCCTTCTTCTCCTCTCCCTTCTCCACCTTCTTTTCCACCTCTCCCTTCTTCTCATCCCCCTTTCTCTCCTCAATCTTCTTCCCCACACCTTTCTCTTGTCCTGACTCTACATCCTTAGCTACTCCTCTCGCATTTGACATTGTCACTTCGCTTGGCTGATCTTTCCCCTTCCCTTCCACACTTCCTTCTCCCGCCTTTCCTCCCTTCCCTTCCACCTTCACTCCCGTCTTTCCTTCTTCCTTCTTTTCCCCTGTCACTCCCTTATCTTCTCCCTTCCCTTCTCCCTTCCCTTCTCCCTTCCCTTCTCCCTTTCCTTCTCCCTTCTTCTCACCCTTCTCGTCTCCCTTCGCTTCTCCCTTATCAGCTGTACCTCCTTCCAGTTCTTTTCCACCCTCTCCCTCTCTCCCCTCTGCCCTCCCCCCTACAACAACCACTGCGCTCTGCTCCCCCTTCTTCGCCCCATCCCCCTTTACCTCAACTCCCTTACCCCCACCCCCCTCTTCCCCTTTACCGCCACCGCTCTTATCCTTCTCATCTATACTCTCCTTCCCTCCCTCCGTCCCTTCCTTACCGTCTTTGCCCGCCCCATCCTCCTCCTTACCCACTTGCCCACTCCCATCCTTCTCCTTGCACTTACCACCTCCAGTGGTCTCACCACCACTCGTCTTCGCTTGCCCTCCTTTCTCCCCCGCCACTGCTCCCGCACTTCCGCCACCTCCTGCTCCGCTTCCGCCCGTAGCTGCGCCTGTAATTGCGCCTGCAGTTGCGCCCGTAGTTGCGCCCGTAGTTGCGCTCTTAGTTGCGCCCTTGGTTGCGCCCGTAATTGCGCCTACAGCAGCGCCTGCAGCTGCGCCCGTAGCTGCGCCTGCGGGGGATAAAGACAAGCTGGCTTTCCCCGCGGCTGGCTGCGCTGTTTTCCCCGCTGCCGCAGCAGTGGGCGCGCCAACCTTCACTGCGCCATCCGCTTTTGCCTCAGCGCCAGTCCCCACTTCCGCCTTCCCCGGGGTAGGCACGGAACTTGCAGCAGCAGCGGGTTTTGTTCCGCCGACAGGCGCAGCCATAGCTTTCACTGCAGGGGGTGACGTGGCTCTTGGTTTCGCTGCAGGAGGTGACGTGGCTCTCGCTTTCGCTGCAGGAGGTGACGTGGCTCTTGGTTTCGCCACTGGGGCTGTCGCAGGGGGCGTCTTTGTCGCAGAAGCCGTCGCGACGGGCAACGCCTTCGCCACCAACGCGGGTGCCGCGAGAGCTTTCACCATCGGAGTTCCCGTCGCAGCAGCAGGCTTCGTTGCAGAGGCAGGCGCAGGAGCGTTTGTCGCAGGGGCGTTCGTCGCAGTGGCGATCGTCGGAACAGCCTTCACTCCTGACGACGTCGCAATGGTCGCTTTCGCAACTGGAGCCGTCGCAACGACCGGTTTCGCCGCTCCCGCCACAGGCGCAGCAGGCTTCGGCGACGGAACAGCTTTCGTCGCTGCCCCCGCCGCTGCTCCCGCCCCTGCTCCCGCCGCTGCCCCCGCCACTGCTCCTGCAGGCGCAGGTCCGCCCGCTGCACCCGCAGCAGGTTTGCCTTGCGCTCCTGCGGGTTTTGCGCCAGCGGTAGCAGGCGCAGCAGGTTTGGCTGCTGCCGTAGTTGGCGCTGCTTTCGCGGCTTGAGCCGACACAACTCGAGTCTCCGTTGCTTGACTAGACGCCGCTGGAGTGCCTGCGGCGTGAGGAACCGTTGCAGGTTTGACTGTTGGAGCTGTCGAGACCGCCTTAGTCGACGACGCGGGAATCGCTCCTCCTCCTCCTCCGCCAGCCGTTGCTGGTTTCGCTGCTGCGCTGGCAGCTGCTGCTGCTGCTGCTGTTGCTGCTACTGTGGGTTTCGCGACTGGAGCGGTACTCGTTGCTCCGGGCGTCTTTGTCGCCTCCGTCGCCACGCCCGGAGGCTTCGTCGCAGCTGCCGAGGGCTTCACCGGAGCTGCTGTCGCAGACGAGGGTTTCGTCGCAGAGGCCGTCGCAGTAGCGGGCTTCGTCGCAGCAGATGCCGCTGTTGATGCTTTTGCTGGGACCGTTGCTGCTACCGTGGTCCCCGCCGGCTTCGCAGCGACAAGCGCAGAAGCTGCCGCCGGCGCTGCCGCTTTCCCGCCAGGCGCGGCCGATTTGACCACCGCATTCGACGGCGCCGGAGCTGGTTCATTTTTTGGCGCTGCAGCGCCTGACGCGGACGCCGCCCCTCCCGCAGTTGATTTTGCCTCCGCGGGCTTTGCGGAAGCGGATTGAGCGGCGGAGGGTTCGCCCCGCTTGGGGCCCTCAGGATCGGCGGGCATGACGCAAGAGATGTTGATCAACGGCTGAGAATTAAGGGAAACAAACGCAAAACACTTTAGGGATATCCAAAAGACTAACTCGGTTTTCACGCACGTAGCACCGTGGAGAACGCGCCAAGCAGTTGGAAAACGACCGAGACGCTGCTTTAGCCTAAATTAAACGGTCCTCGCACAGAAGGGTACGCTGGCTGCAGGTTTGCTTGAAACGAGTGGCTCAAACTGTCGAGAGGAATAGACGGGAGAGAAACGAGAAGGGTCAACCTCAATCGCAAAGCGTGAATGAAAAAAGGTGCTCCTGTAGGGCTGGGCCACACGACAGGGGCAAGCAGGGCGAGTGAGAGAGTGAGAGAGCGAGTGGGAAAGGAGAGGGAAAGAGTGTGAGAAACAAGTGCAAGGGAGAGGCGGCGAAGCGGGGAAAATTCAAGTGCTTGAAAATACAAATCGAAAGGAGGTTGAGGCTCGCGAAAGGGTTTGCTTGGGCGAAGACACATTTTGCGAAGAGAACGAAACTCTTCCAAGAGCAGCGACAATTGCTCTGACGAACGCCTCGCCCTCTTGAAAAGCGATGCTGTTACAGTTGCCTCCGACTGCACCATCGCTATCAGGAATTGCAGGGGGTGTTTCCCTCCGCAAGATAGTCACCACTCGGTATAAGTAGCTGCAAATGGTAACAACATTAACGAGCATCCACAATACATAACACTATATGTGCTCATTTCAAGAGTACATTAAAGCGGCTAATATTGCAACACTATACATAGCTATCAACTCCTACTACAGCCAAAAGGGTACAGAGAACACACACTCAGTTAAAACCCTGCACCAGGAAGAAGCAGGAAGGAAAATTGGGCACAATCAAGAACCCAAGCCTCCCTGCAACCCTGTAACTTGTCCCCAGTCTCTCTCTCATTCACCCCACCCACCCCAGCCCCTCATGCTGCCACCGCCACTCCTAAATAGGGCTACCTTAGCCAACGCCGTGAATTCTCTGAGCATGCAACAAGCGCGTGTTGAACTTTCAGCCATGCCACGTGCCATGGCATGGTGCCACCTGCACTTGCTCACCAAACTCTGCTCGCCTCCCATCCCAATCACCGCAAGGACTCGGGTTGGTTGGTTCGCACGCATGAGACGGAGAAGAACCTCTTGCGATCGGAAAAGAGACCCTCCCAAATCAAAGACCCCTCCGACAACGCCAGAAGTTGAGCGCTACCCCCTAATCACAGCCTCCCTCCTACCCTTCCTCCTTCAGTTCTGTTCACCAGCACTGACAGACAAATGGAGGGCACGTTTGAACTCCCATCTGCAATCCAATGATTCCCCTCCCCCTAAACGTCTGTCTCCCTCCTTCCAGTCTGCTACCTATCTCCTCCAGTGACAAGGAGGCTCTGTGACGGCAATGTGGGGTTGCGCTGCTCCATGCCTCCAGCCAGTCACCTCGACAGGCCTCCAGCCAGTCACCTCGACAACAGCTGGCAACAGCAGAAGGCTTTGCGACAACTCGAGAATCACATCGAAAGCCAGCAGCAGCAGAAGAGGCGCAAGCATCGCACAGTCAAGAGCCAGCTAGCAGTCTCCTCCACAGCAGGAAGCGGCAGCAAGACCCAGCTAGCAGCAGCAGAAGAGCGAGGAGGAGGAGGAGGAGGAGCGCGGCGAGCGGGAGGCGCCAGCAGAGGCGGAAGAAGAGCCGGATGCGCGGTGGTGCGAGGAGGCCTGGCCGGGCAGCGCGTTGGGGTCGCGGGAGAGAGCATCCTGCATGGCCTCCAGCTGCTGCACCACGTACGTGAAGGGCGGGCGCCGGTCCGGGTTGCTGTGCCAGCACACTTGCATGAGCTCGGCTAGTGGGAGCGGGATGCTTGGGGGGATGTCTGGCCTCGTGCCCTGGTGGGGAGGGAGGTGCAAGGGAGATTCGGGATGGGGGATTGGAGGGGGGAGGTGGTAGGGGGAAGGTGGGATGGGGAATGTGTGACCACGTGCAGTCACATTGTGTGAGAGGGAGGCAGTCCTACGAATCACATTGTTTCTCTCTAGCAACCCTCGGTGATTCCACTCCACAACCCCTCACAGACTACTTTTCCCCGTTTCTTCTGCACACCACACAACCACAACCGCCACTATCTGTCCCCATTTCCCCCCAATTGCCCTCTCAGTCATTCCACAGACCCGCCCCGCTTCATCTCCTTCCTCTCCCCTCTCCCCTCTCTCTCCCCTCTAGCCCATTCCACCGTTCTCCCTGCAAAACCAGCAACTTTGCTCCCTCCCACCTTCCCTTCTCACCCCCCCTCCCAACCCCTTCCAACCACTCCCACCCTAAACTCCCGCTACCTTTTCCCCCTCCTCCCCCCACCCCACACCCACCCGATTAACCATGGCAAACGCAGCCTGCATGACCGTGCCATCCCCGTGAACGGCAGCTGCAACCACAGCACACTCCAAAAGCTCTACACATCCGGACCCTCTCCCCCGCCTCTCCCCACCATTCCTCAACACACCCACCACAGCAAAACCAGCCGCTACACCCCTTCCCACCCCCCATTCCACCCATCCCCACCCACTCCCGTCCTCCACCCCTCTCCACCCACCCGATTAACCACGGCGAACGCAGCCTGCATGGCCGTCATGCCCGCAAACGGCAGCTGCACGGTGCAAAGCTCCCACAGCACAATCCCGAAGCTGTAAACGTCCACGTTCTTGGTGTACGGGCGGTGGTCCACCACCTCGGGCGCCATCCACCGATACGTGCCAGTTTCTGCGGTCATGAGCGACGTGTCGGCCTCGAGACGCGCCACACCGAAGTCGGTGATCTTCACGATGGTGTCTGTGGTCAGGACCAGGTTGTCGGGCTTTAAGTCCCGGTGCACCACGCCCTGGATGGGGGGGTTGGGAAGGGGAGAGGGAGAGAGGAGGGGAGTGGGGTGCGGAGAGCGTGAGTGGGTGGAGGTTGAGGTTGTTTTGAAGTTGCCGGGGTGGGTGGGGGCGAGGGTGATGGGAGCTGTGTGGGGACAACCTGGGAGAATTTTCAAGAGAGCAAAGCGAGGCAGTAAGTGTGAAGAGCTGTTGGGCCGCGTTGGCGGTCGTTGGCCTCTGCAGCATTACCGTTGAAAGGGTAGCCATTGAAAAGCAGGTGGATAGGGTAGCTGTGGAGTTGATTGAAGACAGATTGAGATGCCTCCAACCAAGTAGCACCTCCCTTTCTTACTCTAGCATCCCACCTACCAAGTGCCACATGTCACGTCGTGCCTGGCTAAGGAGTACACGGCCGCTTCAGCTTGGTGTTTCTCCAACCCTTTCTCAACACTACGGTATACTACGGGGAACGCCTGAACTTGCCCACACACCTGCCTGTGCCGCACACACGCATGCTGCTGCTGCTGCAAGCACCCCTTCACACACTCACTTCACACACTTCTGAAAACAACCAACCCCTGCACATATTCACCTCTCCCTCGCCCTTACCTGCACATGCCCCACACACGCGCATGCGTCCCCTCCCCCTCCCACTCCCCTCTCCCATCCTCCCCTCCCCTCCCCTCTCACCTCCGCGCGCGTACAAAGATAGCTTTTTTACGAGTTAAGAGAAACACTTTGAGGCACGTCAAAAGTCATAAAGAATTATTAATCTCCGAAAAAAAAAAAGGGTGCAAAATAAGCGACACGTACAGCGCACCACTTCGGGCGATAAATTGAGGTGGTGGTGGTGGATTGGAAAAGGGAACAGAAAATCAATCACTCAACTCTCGACCCCCCCAATCCCACGCCCCTTGCACACGCATTCATCCTCCCGCACACACCCACACTCCCCCTCCCAACCTCCCTTCGTTCGCCCACACACGCGCGCCAACCCTGCTTCTCCAAAATCCGCTTTTCCCCCTTTTCTCCCGCTCCTTCCCCCTCCCTTGCCACTAACCTCCGCGTGCAGGTAGGCCATGCCGCGCGCGATATCCAGCGCCAGGCGCACCACCTCTTGCAGCGGAAGCAGCTGCCCCTCGCGCTTCTGCAGGAACCCGCGCAGACTCCCCCCGCCCAGATACTCCGTCAAAATGCACCACGTGGGCGGGCGCTGGCACGCGCCGATGAAGCGCACCACGTTCGGGTGGTCTAAGCGCGCGAGGAGATCTACTTCCTGCTTGAACTGATGCGCGAGTTTCTCCGCCTCGCCCTCGCTGTCTGGTGGCCGTAGGATCTTAATCGCCACGTCCTGCCCTTCGTACAGGCCCTGGTAAAGGCGGCCGTACGTTCCCGTCGCGAATTTCGGCCCTACGAAGAGCCGTTGGAGCACCACGAATTTGTCCTCGTGGCCTTCCAGCGCGCGCCACGTGTTTTCCGCGCCGCCTGCCCCGCCCCCCGCGCCGCCTCCGCCGCCGCCGCCCCTGCCGGACCTGCTTCCCTCGCTCCGGCGCCGTCCCGTCGTGCCTTCCGCAGCGGTTCCGCCGTCCCCGCCGTCCGCCGCTGCCGCGCCGCCCTTCCTCCTCCTCCGCCTCCGCCTCTGCTGCGCCTTGTCCCCTGGCGCTCCACCCCCCTCCTCCCCCTCCGCCTCCCCCCCCGCGCCCTCCTCCCCTTCTTCAACATCCTCCCAGTCCTCGTCATCATCCCTCACTTCCACGTCCTCCTCCACGTCATCTTCCGCCTCTAGCGGCACGTTCAGCAGCCACACGAACGACCGCTCCCCGTCCGCCGTGCGCCGCGACGACTCGCTCTCGTCCCCGCTCGCGTTCCCCTTCGCGCCCCCATCCGCGGAAGGATCCCCCGCGGATTCCGCCGCCTTCTCGTCCCGGAGTGCTTTCTCCTCGTCTACCCATATTCCGTTTCCGCTCCTATCGTACCCTTCTCCGCGTTCCTCTTCCGCTTTGTCGTTTTCCGCCCGGATCAGCTCTTCCGCCTCGCCTCCCCCTCTCCCCGCATCCCCGCCGCCTAATTCCGCCGCATTTCCCCCCCCGACCTCCCCGCCACCTCCGCCAGCTGATCCCGGACGGCCAGCTTCCGCGCATCCATTGGCGTCCGCGCTATTGAGAGCTCCGCCTCCGCGCAATCTCTCCGCTCCCTCGCGGTCCCCGTCTCCGCGCACCTCCCCCGCGGCTGCGCCCTCCTCGTGACGCAACTCCTCCTGGCTTCCCCCCTTGCGCAAGGAATCATCCCATCCATTTTCCATGCGCGCGCTAGTCCTCTGCGCTTCCCCTTCCGCCCATGCGCCTCCTTTGCGCTCAGATGGCGCAATCAGCGGGCGCTCATCCTCCGCCGACCGGCCTCCGCTCGAACCATCTTCCGCCGAAGCTTCCGCCACAGATCCGCCAAGCGCGCCTGCGCCCATCTCTAGCCTTCCGCGGAAGCGATGGTCTACGGGGTCCTCCGCGGAGCCTTCCCCCTCAGCAAGGGGGGGAAAGGTGCCGCCGTTCATTGCGCTGCCGCCAAATCCGCCCAGCGCCGTGAATGGCGCCAGACGCCACGATGGGCGATCTCCGCCGCCCTGCTTCCGCTCCCACCACGCTAACTTTGGTACGCTAAGGAACGGGCGGAAGGGCCTTCTAGAATCCGTGTCTCGACCTGTGCGCTGCGTCCCGCCGTACCGCAGTACACGGGATTAGCAGAAAGTGGAAATGGAAAGTGGAAATAGCAGAAAGCGGAAAACGGAGAGCAGAATGCGGAAAGCGGAAATGGGAGAGCGGAGAGCCGAGGCGGAGTAAGGAACGGCGGCGAGATTTCAGGAAAAAAAACAATTGTTTCTGTAGCTTGAAGAGGCGCCAGGGACTAACTTTGAATAATTCTCAACAGAGACTCCGTGAAACCGGACGGTACGGAAGAAGACGATCAGGACACGACACGACGCATTAGGGTCGAAAACTATGATGGATAAGAACACTGATAGAACATAATATTGTGTGATTACGGTCATCAATTCGAATAAGGTGCAGCCGAGGTATGCTACGCAGCACCCCAGTCGACCAGCCTTAGATGACTTTCAAATGGACGTGCCCGCCCGCCTAGGAGGAAAGGGAGGAGCGCGTAACTATTACGTATGCTGTCGCAAGGGAACATGCAATCGAGGTCGAAAAAGGCGGGTGCAGTGGAGGACAGTGCAGCGGACAGATAGACTCTGTTTGCTCGTACAGTAGAAAACGGTCGTTCGTTCTGTGCCTGTCTGAGGTCGTGTCATGCCACTCGCGAGGGATATGATGTACACATGATGCCTGATTGAGCCCCTCCCGGTCCCCTCGTGAAGGGGGCGTATAAGCTGTATCGTGCATTTCGCATAAGTTTCGTCAATTCGCAGATAGCTAAAAAGAACTCGCAGATGCTTATATAAAGGAGCGGTAACCTTATCCGTTGACGTTTTGACTTCAGTCTCATTAGTTTGACTTCAGTCTGTTCGTTACTATTGGTTCATAACCACGCGACGCCCTTGTAACGTGGGTGCAACAGGCTGGGGAAAAAACCTCGGGTGCAGCGTTTCCATCCGGTGCAGAGCAAATTAGCGTGCATGGGGTGGGCATCACTTGTAGTGAGAGTCCGGGAACATAATTTCTTCGCAGGGTATTTCGCCAATTGCTCTGCTTTCTATGGTAGCTTAATATTGTGATATTTCGTTTCCATGAAATTTGCAAAAACCTCTAGTTAAAATGTGGAGCGAATTAAGTAGCAAGCCATATATGATGGAGGATACTGGGCAATGATCTCATGCCAACTTTTGGAACACCCGGCGTGGAGGAAAGAAATGCATGGAGAAGAGTGCAGAAAAGTTGGTGGTTTCTCCGTCAGCAGTCAAAAAAATTTGTTAGAAGACATTCATGAGGCAATAAACTGATGTCGAACAAACTTCAGGTGCAGTCAGAGTGGCATAAGCAGTACTGCTCCCAGTCCGGTTGCTTTCAGTAGTATACTTTACAGTATCATGAGTGAAATCTCCCCGTCCTGGAGTGTTTTGAACTTAGTGATCACTCCACACCTAGCATGCAAAGCAGATGCTCCACCGCATTGAAGTGATCTTAACACCACACACGTATCTAGTTCTGTTGTCTGAATTGGAGATAGGGTCTACTATCATAGAATACCCGAAATGGGGTGCATCAACAACTCACCAGCTGAGCAGAGAACGTTGTTTCACAAGCTGCCAGCAATTCCCCGTGGCCAGACGTCCTATGATTCCATTGCTCTCCGGACCCTCGTGTGACCACGTGAGAGCACCGCAACCAGTCGTGACCACACCTCATATCTTCTTGGTTTCCCTTGCCAAAAGGGGGCAACCCTATTCGTCGGACCCTGGCCGACCAACATGCGTTGTACTGTACGATTCCATTTCATTCGCCCTCTGCTGCTGGGGGCTGGCGTCGAGTTGTATGAATGATGTGTGTGGTGTGGTGGCGCTGGTGTGTCAAAACTGATCAACTGGAGGTTTTTGGCACTCGGGAGGAAAACAGCCTGTCCCGAATTCCCAGTTTCATCCCCATGCTACAGACGATTATGGAACTGTACATGTCCTCTTTTCAAGGTGTCCTCTGTTTTGGAACTCTCTGGCCATACTTGATCTCCTACAGCCAGTAGTAGTAGTTGTGGCTATTATCAGGAAATACATTTTCAGATGATGCTGGCAGCTTCCAAGCAAGCTGCAATCACACGCAATGCGCATACACTCTATTTACTATAGCATTTCCATTATACACTCACCCTATTATCCATCTTAGGGGCCTCCGACCCTGCTGCAGTTGGAGTACCAGTAAGGCACCTGTTGCTTTCACTCGTTGAACCATTATTGGGAATGATAAATTAGTTATTATTCCACAGGGTAGGGACTCTGTTCAGGCACAGTCTGTGCCACATAGAGGCTGCAGAGATACAGCAGGGGGGCAGGTGACAAGAAAAGGGGGCGTTGTTTTCCTAGGAGGGAACATTGCTGGGCTCTTGAAACAGGCAGGACGAGCGGAAAAGGAAGTACTTTGCGTGGGATGGAAAAGCATGCATGCATGCTGGAGGAACTACCGGTATGCCATATTCTATGCCATAATGCACTCAACGTCAGACTCACCCGTCGGCCTTCCCCGGAGGAGTAAGGCGTGCAGCGCGGAAGGCATAGGTGGGCATGGCTGCACAGAAGAGCATGCAGGCTAGGCCGATGATGAGGAACCCGATCCACAGCAGCTGCAGGTTGCTCTCCAGCTTGAACGCTTGGTCTATGATGAACTGATGGATGGGGAGGTGGTGAATTGAGAGGAATTTAGATTTGAGACGTCTCAAAACCCAACGTTTATCACAATTAAGAACCCCATCCATGGCAGCTGCAGGTTGCTCTCCAGCTTGAACGCTTGGTCAATTATGAACTGACGCATGGTGGCGGTGGGGAATTGAGATTTGAGATGCATCACATTCCAACTTTTATCACGATTAGGAATCCCACCCACCCACAGCAGGTGCAAGTTGCTCTCCAGCTTGAACGCTTGGTCTATTATGAACTGACGGATGGGGGAGATGGGGAAGGTGAACAAGACGGCTGTGCACGTGAGACTTCTCCTGATAATGCGGTGGTTCTATGAGGGATTGTTAGGGGGGCGTGGGAAGGTGAGCGGAAAATGGGGTTTGATTGGACGAGCGCAGCAGTTACCATTGTGAGTGGGAAGGGTGGGAATGGTGTGGAGAGAGGGATGGTTATATGGTTATTGTGATTGCGGCAAGAAAGCACGACATGGCACACGCACAGCGTTGTTTATATGGTTGCAGCTTTGGCACCTTCGTTGAAATACTCACAGAGGTGACTTTTGAGTCGACTCAAAAGTCAGCTGGGGCACCACGGTTGACATACACACACATACAAGAAAGTCCCCTTTATATATAAGCACCCCGAAAACTTTCAAAACAAGAACTTTCTCGAGGCGCCTCAAAGGTGAATGAAACGTGTGTGATAAGTAATTTTTGTAGTCGACTTAAAAATCGACTTATCACAAAAGGTGAATGAAACGAGATGGCTTCAGAGGTGGTCCAACAACGCATAGACATGATGGCATGGCATGGCATGGCATATCGCACCTGGGCAACGTTCTTGACATAGGCACAGTCAATGATGGTCTTGATGCCCTCAATGGCACTCTCCAAGCGGTCTGTGCTGACCAGCAATGCACTCATGTCTGATAATACCTCCTCTGGCATGCCTGCGCTCCCTGCGCTCCCTGACTGATTCAGTTTCTGCGGTTGGGAGCAGGAAGATGGTGGATGGGAAGGGTGCTTCGGGAAAGGGAAGACGAAGGCGAAGGAGAGGAGAGAAAATGACACTGCAGCGGAATGGCAGGCACAGGCAGCGACGCAGAAGGCTAGGACGGTGCAGTGCGGTTCACAGAGGCGCAAAGCGGTGCAGGGTGGCACAGGGCACCTGGAAAATCTGCGAGAGTGTGAGGGAGCCTGGCTTGCAGATGGAGACATTCTGGTTGTACTGGGGAGGGGCGTACGGCACACACACTGCCGTTGCCCCTGCTGCTTGCAGGCCCTGCGATGGGAGGAAGAGAAGGGGAGGGGAGGGACAGGAAAGGGAGGGGAAGGGAGGTGAGAAAGTAAAGACGGGTGGGTGGGATACAGGGCGAGAGCACAGACGCTAGCAATGGTAGTTATACCGCAGGAGTTACCCAACAAGAGTAAAGCAGGAATTACCCAACGAGGGCAAACCAGGAATTACCCAACGAGAGCAAAGCAGGAATTACCCAACGAGAGCAAAGCAGGAATTACCCAACGAGAGCAAAGCAGGAATTACCCAACGGAATTACCCAACAAGAGCAAAGCAGGAATTACCCAACGAGAGCAAAGCAGGAATTACCCAACGAGAGCAAAGCAGGAATTACCCAACGAGAGCAAAGCAGGAATTACCCAACGAGAGCAAAGCAGGAATTACCGCACCTGAGGGTACCCCTTTTCCAGTTCATTCTTGACGAAGGTCTGCGAGGTGAAGATGGCGGAGTGGGCAATGGTGACCACGGCCTGCATCTGCGCCTGCTTGGCGCACGGCAGGTACTGGCTCATGGCGCTGTTGACGCTGGGGTTGTGCATGATCTGCGCTAGCGCTGCCACTGAGTCGCCCTCCACACTGGGATGGGAGGGGGAGAAGGGGGAAGAGGTGAGTGAGGGGGAGATAAGGGTAGGGAAGGAGGAAAGTATGGGCTCATGGCGCTGTTGACGCTGGGGTTGTGCATGACCTGCGCTAGCGCTGCCACTGAGTCGCTCTCCACCCTGCAGTGGCAGGGGCGCAAGCGAGTGGGGGGAGAGGGGAGGGGAGAGAGGGCGGAAGAGAAGGGTGAGGGGGAGAGAGGGGGGCGGAAGGAGGAAAGAGGCTCATTG